ACTTAAAAAGTATATTTTGTGATTATGTGCGGCATCGCTGGAGTCGCGGCTAGCTGAGTGCCTATGCACTTATTGTTCTTATTATTTCTTTGACTGTTTTAGCCACTGCTACTGCTGTTCGCTGTGCCGTGGCGTGCAACGAACCGCAGCGGCGGAGCGCACACAGAGTACTCCGGTGTGCACCTCAGGCCTCCGTCTCCATCTCCATCTCCATCTGCTCCTCATCCCCATCAAGTATCCACTCCATTTCCACCTCTCAGCGGCAGCAGCACCGGCACCACCCCCTACGAAGCTACGAAGCTCTAGCTGAAGAAAAGCCGGGTCGCATGGAACTGAGCCGAGCCCGGCTATATTTAGTTGGGCTGGGCCGACTGGCTTCCGTCGAGCAGAAAGAGCAAAAAGCAGCAAGAAAACCAACTTAATAAACGCGTGCGCAATTTTCCTGCTTTTGTAATTCAATTAAAGCGAGTTTACTCTACTTTTTTGCACTTTTGACTCCAAGTGAACCGATTGAGATGTGCATAAATAAGGCCAAGCTCGTAGATAAGCTATGCGGATGCCCTGTCATATGTGTTTATACGTAGTCAATATCTGCTAAGCGGTTATATTTTAAATATAGTACTATTTAAGTCTTTTAGTAGCATCTCACACTTGTGACTCACAAAAGTGTCTTTAAGACATTTCCGTCTGATACGTTACAGATACAGTATCTTAACTGTGGATCTCTGCCATCAGATATCTTCAGATACGGGGTATAAAATCCAACTACCCTGTAAAAGGGCATTAAAGGCAGAAGCTACAGCTGTATCCCCATCTCTTGACATTTACTTCTATCTCGCAATTGTAATCGAGTGAATGCTTGTTGCTGGATTGTGCTTTTCAGAGCTTGAAGTTTGCCGACCTGCTCGACTCTTGTGTTTTGTAGCTGTTCTTATTGTGCTTGTTGTTGTTGTTTTATTCTTGAACGTGTCAATTGTCATTACCCACAATTTGCCAAAGAGGGAGAAAGATCGGGATCATAACAGCAACGCAGGCATTCCAAAGGGGGGAAAATCAATAAGTAGCTAAGAGCTTCTTCCATTTCTTTTCCATTTTTCTATTTTTTGTCTGCGACTTGTCGGTGGCAATTAATTTGTTACTCGCAGTGGGCGGAGCCACACAACTACAACTACAATGGGAACAATGACAACAAAAGCGGCAACAGCGAAAAGTCGTTTGTCATTTCCAGTTAACGAGTAATTAAGCATAACGTTAGAATTTTGCAACAACGCCAGTCGAGAACAAAAGAAGCTACTAATTTCGAAGGAGGCGCAAAAAAACAGGGAACCTAAAAATGCCGCCGAGGTATACACAACTGATGTTCAAAAGGTTTTGTATTTTATTTTTGCCCGTTTCCGATTTTTTGTTTGCCCTAAAAAAAAAAACAGAGCGAATATTAAATTCTTTTCCCCGAACAGCTGGGCAAAAATTAATTTTGAGTGGCGAGCGAAGAGAGAGCAAATTACTTGGCACCCCAAAAGATTAATGACTAAACGCATATAAATAATTTCTAAAAACATCAACAAGCAAATTGTGTATTTGCTGTTTAATCATGTGTGTTTGTTTGGCATGGTGTTTAACTGAAGCGGTTATTGTTTCTGTTTAACTAGGGATACCAGGCTATGGTATTGATAAAGTCCAATTATAGTTATATAGAAGGAAGTGTTTATATATATTTTATGATATTTATAAAAGGTTTTTAATGTGCAATCAGTCGTTAGTGTGTAATTTGTAGTTCAATGGATGCCACAGACCCATAAAACACTTTTTTAAATCGATTTGATAAAATGTGCAAGTACTTTGGCGCGAATGATGTACAATTTGCCACTTAGCCAACTCGGAACGCACAGACTTTTGTCGTCTGGCGAGTGTGGAGTATACTTGATATACTTGATATATGTATCAAGCTGAAGAAGTGGGAAAATAAACAAACGTGCGGCAAATGCATTCAGAAATGACAACAAACAGAGAGCAGCAACTGCAGCGAAGTAGGGAACAGAACAGCCAGGCAAAGAAAATGGGAAATGGAAAAGCGAAGGCGACAAAAGACAACCGACGACAGCGTGGACACTCACATGCAACATACACACAATTTGTACACACCCAGTTGAGAAGAGCGTTATGTATGTGCACATGTATGTGCATTCATTGAAAAATAAAATTGTACCGCAACCAGAATGACGGCGTATAAAAAGTAAAATTAATTGCATTCGAGGAGCCGACGCGTTGCTTACTCATTAGGTTTTATGTTTTAGAGGCAGCGGTCTCGAAAAAAAAAATAATTACATATGGTAAGCTGTGAATTGAGTTATTTTCATCGGTGTTAAATAATAAAGATAAATAATGAAGCAAGAAAACTCTAAAAATTAAACATAGAAGGGAACGTGGAGCGAAACAGACCCCCAAACAATCAAATTTCTCATGAACTTGTGCCTGAAAACCTTAATATATTTTTTTCTGTAAGCTTAGTCAAAAAAATCAAATCAATTGAATCCACAAGGTTTGTCATGGAAATATATTATGAAATGTCTAAAAAAAAAAAAAGGAAAAAATAAGTTAGCAGGAGTGTATTAATCTATTGTTTTTGGGCACCCCAAGTGCCAAGTGACTCCTGCACACCCACTTAATAAGCAGTGTGTGCATAGATACATACATACATGCATACGTGTATGTATGCATGTAGATAGAAGACAAGTCAAACAGCCCCAAACAAGCCGGGCAACAAAAATAACAACAAGTTGTAAGCGAAAGCGATAAGAAATTGAAAAAGTGCGTGCCGCTGGATCCACACATATGTATATATTATGTATATATATAGACGTGTGTACATGTCCATGTCAGTTCGTTGCCTCAAGAAAATTACCGCGATGCATTTGTGTTGCTTTTCATCATACCTGGGCTTGTGTGGAATTACTTAATAATCTCGACAATTTCAAATTCCCAACGCGTTTTTTGCACTCTGCTTTCACGCATTTCGATTTGTTTTCTGCTGTTTTGTTTGTTCGGGACCAAGTTTTTGGAGATTTTTGATGGTTTTTGGTGTTTTTGGTGGTCGGGCGCATAAATTTAACAACCAAAGTCGGAGAATTCTGTTTGTGTTTTGGTGTAAATCGTTTTTTGTTGCCACGTCCGATAATTACAAAGTAATGTATGTGTGTGTGTGTGTTGGCATCGGCCTGAGTAAGTTTATTTATAAATTGTTGTCTTTGCATTGCTTTTTATAGCGCTGCATTTGCATTCTGTCATTTTGTTAACTTTGCGTTGCACCTCTTTCGAATTGCAGTTGCATGGAGAAATTAATAACAATTGAAATGGGCCCCACGTAAAGTCCATTCTTATCCAATATCCGCTGGCTGCCTGCAGCAAAGAAACATATTCTGAGAAATCCAAATTGGTTGGCAACGAAAAGTAACTGCTCTCTATGAGTTGTTTACTGAATTTACTTAGATAAGATAATGGTGCGGATGGATTTTTCAACAGAAATTCTATGAGTCTCTAATATTTTAATGATGCTAAATAAGAAACCTATAGAAAAATGGGTATTTTTAGATAAACAAAACGCTATCTGGTTGTTATATCATGCGAATTCCAGTCATCACTTCGATGTCTGTAATTCGATTAAATTGACAATAAATTGATCTCTACACGGACAACAACAATTGAATAGCAAACATATCGGCATTTTATTCAAAAGAAAGACAAATTATTTGACTTACTTTGTTCGCTGTATTTGCTATTTACCCGCTTTTGTTTTCTTTTGCACTCGTCTCTAAACATTCGAGATGCGATGCGATGACAGTAAATAGTAAATGAAAGCAAAACAAGCCAGAAAATTGATACACTGTCTTTTGTGTGTGACTCCCCGCCCCTCACTGCGCCCCTCGCTGCGCCCTGACGCCCATCAATTAAAGCAACGATGACATCACGAGCGGCACACAATGATGACACGCCAACGGAGGACTCTCATTTGCGCTTTTCTCGCTTTTTTCCGCTTTTTTGCCGCTGTGCAAATTGAAATGCTTTCACATACGCCAGCAGACAGCCATGGTCATCACCATAAAAGAAGACGTGGAAAAGTGGAAAATATTCTTATCAGCAGTCGAGGGGCGAGTCGGTCGCTTTGCATACAATCCAACTTCCAAAACTCAAGCCACCAGCTGCCATAAAAATGGCACTATCTATGTACGTACATAGTACATAGTGTATTTATACACTTTGCGTCAGATAAAACGTCATGAATAATTTGTTTTCCGTTTGAAAGCGTGTAACTGCAGTTGGTCGCTATAGAAATCCTTCAAAATCCTTAAAAATTTCATTGTACATTACCAATTTAATAAAAACTGCGAATAATTCCTGGAAAAGCACAAGGGAAATATGTCAGAACTAGAAACTGTCAGAAACTGTTCGAAATAATTTAACTGGACACCAGCAATTTCTATGTACATCTCTGATAAACACAACTAAAGTAGTTTGAACAAGTGTTTTTTCATTTGTAGATAATTTCCAACTTTAAATGTTTCCTGAAACTAATTTATAATTGAATATAAGCCTACAATGCAAAGTGACTATAATTTTGAACCCAGCTGTATTGTATTCATGGGAAACTAAACAGTAAGAGACATATATACATTTCCTAAGAAAACTCAAGGCCACTGAAGGCGTGTTTGCCTTGACGAGGTTCTACTGTAGGCGAAAACGAAGCGTTGCCAAAAGTGAGGCCAGCAGGGAGCTGTTGCTTCTGCTTCTTCGCTGGCTGCTTCCAATGCCCGGTGGTTGATGAAGTCATAGATGGGCGGGGGTCACCGGTGGGTGGATGTGGGGGTGGCATGTGGGTGCTCGGTGTGAGGACTCCTCCTGTCCCAGACGGGAATGGAATGACACACCGCACAACCGCACACACAAAGGCACACAGAGCAGTTGCAATGGTGTATTGGGTGTATAGGTGTGTTTGCTTCACTTACCGCTCCGCAATCGGCTGCCGGCGAATTCTCGACGATGTCGTAGATGACATGTGGCGGTCCGGTGGTTCCGAGTAGCGAAAACCCGAAACCGGAATGCTGCTCGCTGCGCCGCAGCACCACTTTCAGTTCCTCGCTCATTTTGGGTCCTTCGGCGTCCTGCTGCCGATCGGTTTTCACTCTATTCTCTGTGTTTTTGTTTGGTTGGCTGGCGGGGTGGGTGGGTTGTGTGACCCCTGGGCGTGAATAATCCTTGGGCGACGGACACTTTTCTTAGTCGCTTTAATTAATTCTCGCTGTTTTGGGCTTGGCCAACTTCATTTGCACACTCTCATTTTATTTCCACTCTTTCCACTTCACAACATGCACACACACACACGCACACGCACACATACACGCACTCACGGATGACGATTCGAAAAAAAGAACGCAACTCCTTGGCGAATTTGTTTAGACATTAAACATTATTGCATTTGCTGCTCTGCTTCTTCCTCTTCTACTCTGGCTTTCTTTCCACGCAATTCTTCGTTCCACGCAAACGAAACTTGTTTAATTCGCCCGTCTTCTTCTCGCTTCGTTTCTTTATGTCGCTTTTGTCCGACTGTTTCGCCGCCGCTTTGCGGTTTGCGGGGGGTTTTAGCCGCACATTTTTTGGCGAATGTGGATGCCCAGATATCGCAGATTGTACTAAAAGATTGTAAATTGTAAGTTGTACTATTGCACTGGGGATGGCAACCATAAAAGTATCCATACATCGATAGGTAACGGGAAGTATTTTAATCGTTGCTCAATTTCCGACTATCGATAGATTTATTCAAACTAGTTGTATACTTGTTAAATATTATATGGTATTTATTGACTGACAAAAAACATAAAAAACCATATATGATTTAATCAAAACGAACAACAATTTACATAGAGATATCCAGCAGATATCACCGAATGACCGTTGCAATGTGACAGTCTGGCAACATTTAACAGGTTGCCTAAAACTAACAAGGAGTTTTCAACACTATTTTTGTTTTAAAATATGGGCGGTTAAATCAAAAGTACCTAATTTTTATTTCCTGATAATTAGAGGATTTATTTGGAAGAACCAAAAAAGTACGCAAAACAGGTTCTTTTTCATTTCATAAAAATATATATGTGAATAAAAGTGTGCATTATTAAACTAGGTTATTCCTTAACCATTTCTGTGCCGCGCACTTCGCCATTAATTATGATATCAAACTCCACTTTGTCATGGATTATCTAGGGATAATAGTCGCTTTTTATCTGCCGCATCGACTCTAAACACGCGTGCAATTGCGACTTTCAGATAAATCTCCGACTGAGTCTTCCGACTCGCCGACGTTTGTCTATTCAAATTTTATAGCTCCGCAGTTGGTGGCACAAAGCACTTGACTCATGCATCCACTTCCGTTTCTGACCGGACGCCGGGGAAGGGGCTAGGAATCGGATTCGGGTTTGTTGTGACAACAGTTCGTAGGCTAAGACAACAAGCCGATCCGCGGGTGTCATAACCACTCATACCCGGAGTCCAGATGTTGCGCACAATTATCATATCAGCAGCACATCATTTGCGACTAAGTGAAAAAGCAGATTGGACTGGCACACTCTGCGCCCTCTTTAAAAAGCAGCTCCGCCGAATCCGGGATTTCAGTAATAGTTTAGCCCTAGAAGCTCACAGAACCGCCATGAAGAACTCCCACGCGAACGTCAATTACGAGTCCTATTGCTACGAGGATATTACTAAATCGTGGCTCAACCAAACGGAGGGATATACGGACTGCAGTTATGTATATGGCCACAGTGAGGTTTCCGCCTACGCGGATTACAATAAATTAGAAACTAATTGGTGCAACGAAGTCAACGATCAATGGTTACAAAACGAGGAGACGACTGGTCCAGAACTTCCAAGACAAACGACCAAACTCCGGGCCAACACGAATCGCAAGGAACGCACAGCATTTTCAAAAACGCAGCTTAAGCAGCTGGAAGCGGAGTTCTGCTATTCCAACTACCTGACCCGTTTGCGTCGCTACGAGATCGCAGTGGCCCTGGAGCTGACAGAACGCCAGGTGAAGGTGTGGTTCCAAAATCGCCGCATGAAGTGCAAGCGCATCAAACTTGAGGAACAGCAAGGCAGTTCGGCCAAAACGCCCTTTTAGTTTGTACAAGGACATTTTTTAACACAATTCATCTTACAAAATGTTTTTGCTTACTTAACAACTATAGTAAATGTATTTTAAGCTACTACTTGGATTTCTTGGCCTTTCCCTTGGGCAAGGGTTTGGCCAGCGATTTGGCTGCGGCCAGCTGCAGTTTCTGGGTGGCGACATTCTTGCTGCTCTTCGCAGCCGGAGCTATTTTCCTTTTCTGCACGCCGCCAGTGCCAGGCTTGCGCTTCAGTTTATCAGTCAGCTTCGCCTTGTTCTTCTTGGGCGGCGGTGGAAGGTCCTCCTCCTCGTCGCTGTCATCGCTGGCCTGCTCACTATCCGCTTCCTCCTCCTCAGCGTCCAGGTCGGACTCATCATCGGATGCATCGACGTAGTCCTCGTCATCGGAGTCCTCGTTGATGGTGTTGCCCAGCAAGTCCTCCAGCGTTGGTACCTTCTTCGCCGGTTGTTTCTGTTTCTTACCAGCTTTTTTGGCCGCTGCCTGGCTCGTAGATGCCTCAGTAGATGCGCCTGTTTTCTTTACTGGTTCTACCAGTAAGTTGGAGAAGTCGATGCCCAAGTCCTTGTACTTCTCCTGCAGCTTCTTCATCTTGTTGAGATTGGCTACGGTGCGCTTCTGGCAAGCGGACTCATCCCAGTTGTTCTGCTTTTTCACGCTGCGCTGAGTGGCTTTGGTTAAATCCGAGACATAGATTTCCTTGCCGGCCTGCAAAATAGTAAACGTATGTATTAGAAATGCAAATGGTAAGTAATCCCCGTTGGACTCACCTTATTGACGACCTTCTTCAAGGAGGTCCTGAATAAGTTGAATGTCTGCTTCTCTGGCGGAATGTAGGTGGCCTTCACCACCTTCTGGAACATCAGGTAGTTGTCCATGGTATCGGCAGCCACCTTGGCCACCTCCGGGTACTCGAACTCCACGAAGGCGTAGCCCTTGCTATTACCGGTGCGCAGAGATCGGGCCAAACGGACGCGGAGCACCCTGCCGAATTGTCGGAAGTACTGGCGCAGCTGCTGCTCGAAGAATCCATGGGGCAGGTGCTTCACAATGACCACACCGCGTTCCGGACCCTTTGGCTTTTGCGGCCTGGCCTTGGCCACCTTTTTCTTCAGCTAAAATGGACGCAGTTTACGGTTATCCATGCAACTGGAGGAGCATTTGGCTTTGTAGCGGCTCACCTGTCCGGAAACCACATTCTGGGTCGTATCGACGGTCTTTTTGGGCGTGCTCTGTTTCTCGATCTTCTGCGCCTTGGGCTTCTTAACAGGCGGCATTTTAAATCGCGTTAATTCACTAAAATCGCTTATTAAAGTAGTATAAAGAATAAAAACTGCTGCACGTGGAGCAACAATAATAGTATGACCGTGTTGGCTCTTGCAATAGAGCGCAATGCGTAGCTCATTAGTTATTTGCCCACCGTTTGGGGCCTGGTCACTCTTTCAATTTTTTATTTGTATTTTTTTTTTGTTTTGCGCATTTTTTATTTGCCGCCAATATACAATGAATGTATCTGTCGCATCGTTGAATAATTCCTTCCTGGAAGAGGACGAAATGCGCCTTGGCTACGACCACGAAACCATAAAATCCTTCCTGTGCAAGTCGTCGATCAATGACTTGTTTTCCTACGCAGCAGAAACCACAGACGCCAAACAGGTACTAATCCCCATTATACCAAATAACTATTAGTAATATTCTTTAAAATTTCTTAGTTGATAGATCGCATGATGGCCACCTTGTCCGGGCAGCTGGAACTCAATCTGCAGCAGCTGCTGGACCTGTTTACCCTCGCCATAATGATGATGACGTACCAAAGGGACAACGTTCTGCTGATGAAGGAGCGCTTCATGTTGGTGGATGCGGTGTGCCATCTGGCAGACTCCCTGGATCCAGAGGAGGTACTTCCCCTAGCTGCCACCCTACCTGCTCCGTATATTAACATCTTATCTCCTCAGGTGACCTATATGGCCAGTGGATTGTACGAAAAGCTCATTAATGGCATGGGAATGGAGCGCCTGGAAAGAGTGCTGGACATGCAGGCTGCGATTCCCGCCTTGGTAGAGTCCTGCCGGCTGGGAAACGATATTGCTATGGCCCTGCTGCTCACCATAATAAGCCGGTACACAGGAGAGCCAGTTCAACTGGACCATAAGGAATATGTATGCCCTTAAAACTGATCGAATCAGCATTCTAAGCCATTTATTTGCAGGCTCTTAAGGCTTTTGAAATGGCCAAAACGGTCAACTGGCAGCAGTTGGCACACAGTGGACGCCAAGCAGACATGTTTATGCTCATTCGCACATTCAGCATGATCATCAATTCCCGACGCGTGCGCGAAGAGTGTCCTGATTGGAAGGACAATCTGGGTGCCGAGATATGCAAGTACTTCCAGCAGGTGCGCCTGGATCGCTCTACCGCCTACGGTGACTTCGAAATGATGGTGAGTGCCTCTATACTTTTATTGTAAGGGAATCCACTCCATAAAGATTACTTACAATTACAGATTGAACGATTCATAGCTTACTGCGTTGTTCGTGGAGCCAACACAGCGTAAGTTTAAAAAGCGTAATTTTATATACATAGGTGTGTTGATTCAATAGAATTTTCCCTATACAGCCCGCAACTTTGCAGCTACAAAATTTCGGAGCTATCGAATTCGGAGTCCCAGCTGTTAGAGTCAGATAATGCTTAGAGATCATTTGTCAGTTATTATTACAATTTAAGTATCATACAGCTGAGATCAAAAAAGAAAACCAAATATATATTATGTTAAGTAGTAATAAAGTACCAAATGAATTTGCTTGATTGACCTTGATTTTTAAAAAGCGCGCCATTGCCTCGGCGTTTTTTAGTGCATTCGCGCAAAGTCAGTATTTTTTGGCGCTCTGGCGGCGGTCACACAACGCGCGACGGCACGTGTTGACTGCATTTAAAAAGCGTTTTTAATAACATTTGGCAGGAGTTGCAGTGGCCGAGCAGTCGCACCAGTCGCCCAGCATGTTCTACCTAATCGGCCTCGGCCTTGGCGACCTGAAGGACATCACGGTCAAGGGTCTGGAGATAGTGAAGCAATGCAGTCGCGTCTATCTGGAGATGTACACCTCTATTCTGGGCTGCAGCCTTGAGGATATGGTAGGTATCTGGAGTGGCCTTCGTACTGGTAGCACCCACCCTCAATGCATCTACGCTTTGCCCGCAGCAAGAGTTCTACGGACGACCGCTGCTGCTGGCCGACCGTGATCTGGTGGAGCAGGGTGCGGATGAGATCCTGGCCGGTGCGGGCGAATCCGACGTGGCGCTGCTCGTGGTGGGTGACCCCTTTGGCGCCACCACACACACAGACTTCATACTGCGCGCCAAGGAGAAGAACATCCCCTACAAGGTCATTCACAATGCATCGATCATGAACGCCGTGGGCTGCTGCGGCCTGCAATTGTACAAATTCGGCGAGACCGTTTCGATTCCCTACTGGGACGAGACATGGAAGCCGGACAGCTTCTATGACAAGATCAAGTTGAATCGCCTGCACAACATGCACACACTGTGCCTGCTGGACATCAAGGTGAAGGAGCCCACGCCGGAGTCCTTGATGCGCAAACGCAAGGAGTACATGCCACCGCGCTTCATGACCGTGGCAGAGGCGGCCCATCAGCTTCTGTCCATTGTGGAGAAGAAGGACTCGCTGGAGAAGAACACAGTGCTCAATGAGCAGTCACTGTGCGTCGGGCTGGCCCGTGTGGGCCAGGAATCGCAGCAGATCGCCGTCGGCACGCTGCTCGAGATGCGCTCCACCGATCTGGGCGGGCCGCTGCACTCGCTCATCATTCCCGCCAAGGAGATGCATCCGCTGGAGGTGGAGTTCTTGCAGCAGTACGCCGCCAGCATCAAGCTGGACGACTACAACCACTAATTCCGCTGCGAAATTACCTAATTTAGTGTCTAGGAAATGTTGTCTGTGCATCTGAATTGAATTTACGAAGCAAGAGGAGCTGGAAGCTCAGGAAGAAAGTGATATCGCTTGATGCCACCCGTATACGTATGTAGCCTGCCCTGCGGCAGCTGAAATAAAACCGCATTCACCCATCGTATGTGTATTTATCTCAGAAGCTTTAATAGACTGTTTGCATATCAATAGTAGAGCCCTCGCATGCGGCGCGACGATCCCTGACGGTCGTACAGCATATTGAACTTGTTCACAAAGTGATGCATGTCGTTGCAGCCCTTGGTCAGCGTGCCCAGGTAGCTAATCAGTCCCACGTCGTTGCACTGCGTGTAGAATTCCTCCTGGAAGGCGGGCACCTGCATCACGGGCAGTCGGTGGCAAAGAGCGTAAGCTTCTCGCAGAATCTCCTGGTTGGCTCGCAGCTTTCCGGCCTCCACATCGCGGATGTACTGCAGCACGATCTTGATGCGTGTATTGAGCATCTTAATGGCACTGTCCTGGGCCACCAAATGCTCCGCTACCACGCTCTTCTCACCGGACTCGTTCGAGGTCATGCGCGCCACATGATCCACGCCAATGCGCTCCGCCTCCTCGGTGGCCAGTGTGTAGGTAAGGGGCACGAACAGCATGGTGGCCTCTCCGTCCACCAGATCGATAAGGGACTCGAATAGCTTCAGGGGTAAGTGGTCGACACTGCGGGAGAGCGGATTCAGTTGCAGCATGATGGGGCACTCGTTGATGGCGGCTATCTGTTTCTGGATCTTAATGTCATCTGCAGTGGGATTCTCGCCGGTTGTGTACCAGCCTATGAAGTCGAGATCGCTGAATACCTGGAGAAAACATATGTATCAAGGACCATATGTAGATGCTTGCACACCCACCTGCTTGTACTGCTGCTCCTTCTTGTTGTAGTAGTCCTTGTTGATCACTGTTTCATCGCCTATGACGTCTGTCTTGAGCTCGAACGAGTTCATAATCTCAATGTTACGGCCCTTCTGCTTGCCAATCAGTGCGCCGTACACCTGCCGCGGCTCGCCGTGCTGCGCCCGGAATCGTGTCCAGTGCTCGGAGATGTTCATTATGACCAGCGGATGCAGGGATATGGTCACTGAGCCACTGGTGCCCACCGCAGCCATTATGTTTCCCTGCGGCTGTGGGTTTTTATTCACTGTCGTATCCAGTGGTATGCTGCTCCCGCTGGCGGAGGACGATGTGCTCGGCTTGGCCGACATGTCGACGTCCACTTCCATTAGCTCCATGCTGTCGGGGGGCCTTTATTTACTCGTAGTTAGCGGTATAAACTTAATTTTACTTCTTTTTGTTTGACAAGCTCCGGTATATGCGATGATATCGGTCCCTGTAGTAGTTCGATATAATTTATCGCTATCGGGGCGAAAGAACGGTGTGACCACATCTTATCCCTCTAGCGGTGACGCGGACCTTTTCAACTATTAAACTTAATGTCGGCGTTGCCAGCTTGTTTGTAATATAACTATCATTGTTTTTGAAATTACGTTTTACAATTCTATTTCATAAAATCTGCGCCAAATTATTTAGCTTAAGAAGTCTTTAAACTGGGTTACAAATATTTATAATTGCGGAATTAGATGTAGGAAAGAGGAAAACAAAATTCTCCTAAAAGAATCGGTTCAGGTATTTCCGACTTTGATACGTTATTGTCAGTTTCTAAAATTTATTGATCTCTTCCGCACAGACGACCCTGCCAATTCACAGCTCCGTTTTTTTGCTGTGAATTCAGAATAAATTGAAACTCACTTGATTGGTTTTTGTTTTCGTTTTAATTTTATTTATCTTTTCTTCGTTTTTATTTGTCTTGGCTTTTAATTTCGTGCTCGCCGTATTTGTTCGTGCGAATGTTGTAAGTTAGACTAGTTGGCTTAGGACTACAAATATTTAACATTAACATTTAACAGGCTATTTACAAATCGTCTATACACAATTACAATTACAATAATCACTTAGCCTAAGGGGATTTAAAACTAAACGCGCTTCGTTCGTGAGGTTCTAGAATTAGGCGACTTACACATTAGGCAGATCTCGAAAATTGACCCAGTTTATTGTACGGTTCTACACATGCGAATGCAGCCACAGATGGCGAGAATGCGATGCAAAGCGAAGCAGTCAAGCGAAGCTAGCAAGGGGATAATCATCAAGTTATAATTGAAATTACGCATACGCCCCGTGTTCCCCATGCTCGATCGATCCATCATCGGCAGGCGGACTTCCTCTCTTCTGTGGGTGGATGTGGCTGTGTGTGCACGCTCGTGTATTTATGGCTCTTAAGCTTAGCTTAGCGTTAGTTGAAACCTTTGTACCAAAAACTACTTCCGTTCCGTCCGTTGCCATCACCAATCTGGTCCGTTTATGTCAAATTTGTTCCCCCTCTGTTGGGCAATCCCTGGAAGCACTTTTCTGACTGCTTTCGCTATTCAATTCAGTTGGCTTTCAGCTTTTGCGCCACCATCGCCGTGTTATTGTTGTCGTCCGCCTTGCAGGGCGTGGCATCAAGTTGTTGCTGTTGCTGCTGCTTCTGCTGCTGCTGCAGCTGCTGCGCCGCCTTGGTCTTCCTGTAGCTCTGCATGTAGAAGTTCATGAAGAGGCAGAAGAAAATGGAGGCATTCAACAGGAGCAGCGCCGAGATGAACTTGGAGAACTGGCACTGGTTGCTGAACAGGGCGCGGAGGGTGTGGAAGATGCACAGCACGAACTGGGCCTAAAAAGGGAAATAATATTAATGTTATACGGATCATATATTCGTTAAATGTTAAATACATTTCTGTTACTGATTCGAACAGAATCTGAACCTAATGCTTGGTACTTCGATAAAGAATGCATTTCATTCTTCCCACGACAAAGCGATCTCTATATTACTTAGCCTAGTTATAGGACTGCTCAACTGGACCTTGTTTTCTAATCTTTGATGTAATTGTTATCAGATTGGCGTTGTCATGTCTAATCACACATATTAGACGGCTTGTGGGAGCCATATGGCAAGCAGACTTGTTACGCTTGAATTCTGGGAAAGTTCCGAAGAGAGCACACGCCTCCTTGGCGCAGGTCACATTCCATGCTCAACTTGACCCACCTCCCTATGTTCATTGGCGCTGTCGAAGGGCATTGTGTGGAGCTTGTCTCGTTACGGAAGTTGTAACGTCATTCAATTAGTCGGGTCTCTAACTGCCAAGTCATAACTTATACTTTTTGCAGTCCGGGTTACAGCTCTTTGAATGCGGCTAATAAAACGGCTGGCAGTGGAGCACCCTTGAGCTGGGCGGGCAATCAAAAAGCACTCAGTAGCACGGCTACAATGTGCGCACATTGATTGGAATTAGCCGGAGTGTCAGTGGGATATGAGATTGTTAAGTAGCTGCTGACTAGCTATGCTTAGCCCAGTCCAGCAAGCTGGCTTCGATTGGCCTCTGGCGACCCCTTGGCGCGTGTTATGCGCTTTTATAGTTACCGCTGATGTTTGATCTTGCTCGATCGTAAATAATCTAATGGCACCCACACCCACTGAATGTTAGAGCGTTAGCGCCAAGATTCTAGCCTTTAAGACACACACTCAGAACTCAAAGAATGGGCTAGTCAATGGGCTAGTTGCTTGGTCTAAAATTCCAGTAAACGTAACTTGATTCAAGAACGGCAAAGTGATGCTAAGGAATTTGAAATATTCTAGAATAACATGTATAAATAAACTGGAAACCCGAAGCTAATGAACATTGATTAATGACACGAGCGGCGTATCTTATGGGATACCTCCAATAACAAGAGGTTTTCATACTTGCCCCCTAAAACAAATCGTCTCATCCTATTTATTATGATTGTAAACACTCGTAGTATTTTTCCCTGTGCACCGATCTCGGTAGTGTGCCGTCTTCGGTGACCTACAAAATATTACGCTGGCCAGCCAAGCGATGCAGGTTTCCATTACCACTGCATGTTGGCCAAGATGGCAACTGCAACTGCAACCGGCCAAGTTTGCCTCTTGCGGTCCGTTGAAAGCCAACGTCGACGCTTAAATGCTTCATTGCACGAGGCACCGACCACCGACCACCGACCACCGAGCACCGTGGGCCTCAAAATGATTGATGGAAGTGGGGCAATAGCAACGTTGGGTTTTATGGGAAGTCCGGCAGGTCCAATGGCCAGCTTCCTCATAAAAGTCGCTATTATTGAGGGTAAACTGCTTCTGTAGAATCGAAACTGTTTTAAAACGTTTCTTTGTTTTCCCACATTATGCATGCAAATGTTTCAGCTCAACAGCAGTAGCTTCTTCCATAAATTCTTTCTAATTAAATGCTAATTTTTGCACGTTTTTGAAGAGGTTTGACCTCGTGGGTTGTGTTTGCGGTTCGTGCCGGATTTTCTTTGATTAATCTAAGTGCATGTATTTAAGAAGTTCTAATAATCATGTGATTATATTTATACTAGTTCAAGTGTGACCTCTCAAATTCGCTATACCAAATGGGTCATAAATCTATTTTATTTGTCTAATGAGTATGGACATCTTATTTTGGTAAGGTCATCTAGCCAATTCCCTCACTGAGACATTTTGGCAATTTTTATAGGTGTGTTTAATGTGTATGGTTTCGGCTTAAACATTTCACATTGTGTCAAAGTGACCTTTTCGATCAATGATTAAATTTTAAGCATACATTTGCCACAATTAACTCCCTTGAATGTTGTACTCTGTTTAAGATTACTTTAAGTATATTTCTTAAATTTCCTATTCAGGATGGGAATGTCTATGTTTGACCCACTGTTCGAGCTAAATGTTTTTGCGCAATCTTGGCATAGATCATTGAACGTCATTCCATTATTACTAAGAGTGAGTGCGCGTGTGCTGGCCACTGGCGTTGGAAAACAATAATAAAAGCCGAAGGCAGTTGCACTTGCAACATGACTGATCTGAACTGGCGACTCGGATCGCCGCACCGGCAATTGAAAGTGCTGGCTGCAGATAGATAGATAGATGGCTTGTTGACTTTTACCCAGACACGCCGTACCCAAATTGCATGAGTAGTCTGCCCAGTGGTCGCCATCGACCGCCGCACAAGACCCGGTTTGGAGTCGAGGAATAGGAGTATGGATAAGTTGTGGTCGGCGCAATAGCCGACATAGACACTCACCCAGGTTGGTGTGGCAAGTTCGTCGTGGTGCTGGACAAAAGTGAACGCTACCACTACCGCCGCTCGACATTCATTGCCGCAAAACGGAACGAACACGAAATGATAATGTAATCGAAACTGGTCGGATCGGTCGGTCGGTTGGTCGGTTGGTCGGTTGGTTGCCGCAAATGTGGAAACTCTTGGTGGAATTGGAAGTGGAATTGGCCTACCTCCGTATGTTGCGGGCATCGGTGTTGCAACCTTATGTTGCCGAAAGCAATCGGCAAATCGGAACTTAACTTCAACTTGTGCCCGGCTCTTTGCTAAAATGTGGTGCATGCGACGTATGTTCAGGCATTTGGTAGCTAATTGATCAGCAGGAACGGAACCAAACCGAAATAATTCGACTGGTTGCGCAGCCAATTGGCAACACTTACTTAAAGTAGAATGTAGAATCACAACTGCGATTGCTGGCGTGACACATAAATTATCCATAAGATGCACCCGCCTACTCATTAAGTATGTCAGTGCAGCGCAGCGATATGCACAGAGCAATATTGGGGGTTGCCAAGAACTTTTAGCTATGGAATTAGAGGTTTATGTCTCTTAAGAAAAACTCTACTATTCAGCTAGTTTACACAGATAAGCTATTGAGTTCGGCTAATATATTAATAATGTTTCTAGTAACTGCTTTTTACTGTGTAGAATCCAGCGAAAAGCATTGGAAAGATATCAACAACAAATACAGCAATCAAACTAAGCACTCCATTGACTTACACGTATGTTAAATTTCATACACCCATATTACAAACACAGTGAGCCCTCCCTTGCGGCGACTGCAACTGGTGTTAATGTTTATTTAATCTGCGTATTACCTAAAAATATTTGATTTTGCAATATTACCACGAGGTTTTCCAATCGTTGGGTTTTTAATTATTTCTCTTTCCTCCTTTTTCAGACATTAAAAAACATGTAATTGCTTTTAATTGCCAAGTTGAATGCCTATATATTGGGTTTGGAAACATGATTAGCTTCTAGGCTCTGGCAAAAAATGTTGTTTTAGTATAAAAGAAACGATTTACTAATTAACCCCCAATTTAGCGCTTATTGACCTAATTTTCGCATTAACTTCTTAAGAATCCCCACTGCTGGCTGCCTGCCTCCTGCCCAACTGTCTGTCTAAAATGGAAAACCTGTGCTTGCTACTTAAGTTAGTCACCGAACGTTTGTCAACTCAACTGTGGAGCAGAGCTTCAAGGCGATTCACTAACTAGCGGCTGCGACAATCACAACTACAGCATTGAATCTCGATTTGAAGGAGGCCAGTCAGTCAGCCAGCAGAACAAACTATACTTGCCATATCTCCATGCGTTTCGAGAATTTCGAAACTTTTGAAAACGAGAAAAGATTGAAAAAACGCCATGTGTTTGTCGTACTCCAATTATGCGTAGTTTCAATTCACAGAAAAACTACTGGCCAGCAAGAACCGTTCATGTGGAGCCAAGAGCCAATCTAATACCATGCCAAATTGGCTAGCATAAAAATCAGATGGGAAAAACCAGAAAGCAGCCGCGACATAGATCACATGATTGGCGACAATCTCTGGATTCGCATCGGTTTCGTTTTACTTTTGCTTTCGGATCTAGCAATGTTGCGTAATCTCCCTGCGAGAATTTAAGATCGATGCCCCAACGATTGGCCTTTGGCCCCAAAAAAGAGTTTGGACAAAACCTAAGCGCTAGTGCAAACAAACTGGCGGAGGCCGAATCTTAGTTTTTGCAGTGGCATTTCGGCATTTTAGACAAATGCAAGACACAGTTGGCTAGTTAGAAGCATTGGCCAACATTTTATTTTGGCAATATAAACACGGATAGCAACTGGTCGCCGCGGATGCGAGATGGTGTGCGTGCCTTTGGGCCCACTGAGTAATGCCAATTTATGTGGCAGAGCCAGCCGAGCACTAAGTCTAACTATGAGGCACGACTGCCGGTCTAACTGGTTTGCATTTCGGCTTGGATTTTTGGCGGCGTCTTGGCCAAATCAGTCGGGCAATTGCTAGCCCACAGCAACTAACTTCGACTTCGATGCTATGCTCGAAAAACACATTTCACACATGCCAGCGGCAGCGTAGAATTCTGAACAAGTTTCATTTGATTTCGGGCATTATCTGAGCTGGAACTGATTCGCATTTAATTAGAGGTACTTACGATCTGCAGCTCGGTCATGTATTTCTTCCACCACAGGAACTTGGCGTACTCGGGTCCCATGGCGGCCATCATGTAGTAGAAGTACATGCACACGTGCACAAAGTTGTTCAGCAGATTCGGGAATGTGGCGTTTCCACCTGGAAAAGGAGATGAGAAAAAAGATTATAGTAAGAGAAAACTGCAAGATCCAGACTATACTTCTTTGTTATAACGGCATGACATTTTAAATTATTGTTTAGCTTGTGTGGAAACACAAATGTTTGTCTGCTGCTTCTAATTTACATAAATTACTATTAATATTCCGGAACGAAATGCGATTAGCAAATAATTCGAATTGAATTCACTTGCTAAACCGCATTTCTTACGATAAAATTCTGCATTTATCAAATTTAAAAATAGGTTTCACTTATAGTCCACTCACCTGCGAGGAACTTGACCAGCACCCATGTCTCCAGCGGAGTGACCGAGTGATGGTACACGTGCAGCCAGGTGATTTGGGAGGACTTCTTGCGCAGCACGAAGAACATGGTGTCGGCGAACTCGGTCAGTTTGGAGAGGTAGTACAGGTAGCACAGGTTGAGCATCTGCCGGATGAGATTGAGAGAGGGAGGGAGAGGAGGGGGATATCAGTGCGGTTGACCTAGCAAGGTCGTTATGCAATTCGCGCCCACCGAGCAACGTGGCCAATTAGCGTAGAAGCCGCAGAAGAAGAACTTGCGCAATGACATTGACAAAGTTTTCGTTCCGCCGCCTCTTTAGTTTCGTTTCGTTTCGCGTTCTTTCTGTACTTGCTTGAAATGCCCAAGCACTTTTGTTTTCATTTTCCGAGCGAGAATTCTGCTGTTTCTGTTTGCAAGTGAAACGTTTGGGCGCACGCTGCGTATGCGCAATGTAAACAATGCTGACTTTTATGACTTCGCTAAGGCGCCGTGGACTTATGGAAATGACTATAAAACTAGATGACAGACGCTAATGACACTAGGGTCCGCCGGAGTTTATTGACTTGTATCTTGGGCTCGGTGGGTTTCATATTTATTTCTTGGCTTTTTGGAGCTTTTCGTTGCGGATGTGAAATCGATCAATGAGTGAGTAGGAAAAGGTCCGGTGTGGTCAGTGGTAATTCACAGAATTTATGCTCTATTGATTTAAAGCTCAAACAGACCACAAGTACAATTCCAATTGCAAACAAACGGCGTAGCAAGCCGAACTGTTTAGAGCCACTTCAAATGCTGTTAATTTGATTGTAAAATAGCCAATAGTACAACAGCCTTGAGGGTGTGGCAGTCTCTAATATTTTTCTGACCGTAATAGTGGAGGCTTTAAATGCTTGCAAGTCATATATACTTCTTACAGAGATTCGATTGATTTTAGATAAATTAACACAAGAATAAAAGATTGCATTATAGAAAAGGTTATGGGTTTTGGTAAGTGATAAACAATAATTAATCCATTGAGTGCTGCTTCGCTAGAAAACATTTTAAGACTTGGAAAAAGTAATATTTATATTCAATCTGCAATCTTTAAATCAAATTGAGAGTATTGAAAGATTGGTTGGTGTGGTTTTCTTCTGTTACAAATCTACTAACATTTAAATGCCTCATTTGTGGTGCACAAACAAGTTGCCATTAAATTATGCATTTAACTTCAAACTGCCAATTATTATTTGTTCATGCTGAGTGGCCTGGGAAAAGGGAATACAATCGATGGGCAGGCGTAACAAATGACTGCTCGAAAAGCCATTAGAGGCAGAATTTAGATTAAGAAGCTGACCATTTAATTGCCATGCTCACTAAATTTGAATGTGAACTTTGTGCTGTCGCGGAGGCATAATTAAAAACATTTTATTTGTGGCTGTTTGATATCTGCTCTATGACTGGTCAAAAAAGTGGCTTTGAGCTGAACTTTACGGGCCAAGTAAATGGCTCTCGAGTCTGCCGGAGTCAGTGAGTCATCACAAAACAGTGGCAACGAACTTGCTAACCAACTGCGGAAGATGAACCCGGCAAGGTGAGGCGAAAACAAAGATCGACCAACAGCCAACAACCAACCATCAAGCAGCCAAATGACAAATGCCGAATTATATAATAGGGCCCATAAATTCCTTAAGTCCACGCGTGCCTCTCGAAATAGAAATTTGATTGAGGATGAGCGAGTTTCGATCTGACAGTGAATTTAATTTAGTATTTAGATGACCGGTTGCGTCCACTTACCCGCTTGGAGCTGGGACTATCGGAGTAGTCAACCGGTTGGCACTTCAGATTGTAGTAGTTCAGCCAGCCTGCCATTAGGTGCTGTTTTGGGGAAACCGGAAAGGGATTTATATAAGTTCGACGAACGTTATGCTAATCTCCAGATCAAAACTCACCTCGTAGAACATATAGCCACTGAGGGCCACCTGGAAGGCATTGTAGACGACCAGGGTGCGGCGCAGCTGGAAGGGCTTGCGATCGCGCATGAAAAGTGGTCCTATGACCAGGACCCAGGACAAGTAGATGGCCACCATGCCAAAGGTAAACATCGGGTGCTCCATCAGCGGAAAGCGCGTTGCTCGCGGGTCTGTAAAATATTGCCGCAAATAATCCCAATTAATTACCGCATTTCGTTGTTCATTTCATTTGCAATAGGTTTCGTCTATGCTAATGCAGAGAGGGGACGAAACAGCATCAATTTGCATTTCATTAGTTTGAGCCAAGCCATTCAATCCATGCCAGCTGAATGAAATCGTGGCTAAATATAAAGTCAACTTGTCACTTGCAGCGTTTAAAGTGTCAGCACAATCGCCTTTACACTGAGCAATAATAGTAAAATATGCGAGGCTCATGCCGCTCAGGGAATTATTCCATATCTTAGTAAACATCGACGTCATAGACCGCTAATTTAAAGAAACCCCCCAGAAATTATATGGAAATTAATTACAAGGGGCTTTGCATTTCTAAATAGACCAACTTTTCCACAACGCTGCCTGTTTACTACAGCAGTTATGATTTATCATCTAGTTCTAGTCAGTTACAGCAAATATTCCATTTGCGGCTGCTTGGGTTCACTTTTATGCCGGGAATTCTTGACCTGTTTCACTGAGTTTGTTGTGTTCGGAGACTCGCTATCATTTGCTTAACTAAGTGTATCGAAAATTCAAATATAAACTTCTAGAAAAATGATTTAATTTTATGATAGTGGAAGCTAATATTTCTTGGTGTAACACTATATTTCTGAATGGTGTATTGACATAATTTTATTGATATTTTGGAAAATATTAACCACTTAGTATGTCAAGTTCGTGTCCTAAGTCTTTTGTCTTGAGGCGGAACTCTTACTTTCTTCAAGTTTGTGTTCTAAGTCTTTTGCTTATGCCCAAAAACCCCGAAAGTTTTTGCTTCGTAAGCATGACTTTAGCACTAAGTAATATTTTAATACCTGGTTTAGTAACACTAAGCCACCGAAAAATACTCTATTTGCACGGCTTTTAATTGCACCTGCCTGCCATTGACCTTTCACCGCTGACTTTTCTCATTGCCAGGAATGTGAATAAGTGAATATGGGGGACCGTCAGCAAGTGGCTCTGGAAACGGAACTCAAGAGCAGGCCCTACAGGCAATTGGCATGTTCGAAGTGCTCCGGCTGCTATTGTACTTAATAAATACATGCTCAGCTGCACACGGGGAAACCAAAAGCAAAGCCAAAGTCGTCGATGGCGACGGTCGCTTCATAAAAATGTCTAAGATAAGCAATGTAAATACATTTTAATTACGTTAATAATTGTCAAAAATACAATTGACACTGCCAAGGTCGCAATTTAAAGCGCGCGCACACACAAACGCACACAAGAAATCATTTTTAATTGTCCTAGAAGTTTTTGGCCCAGCTTTTGGCTTTGTCTTTTTACTTTTCTTATTTTGTTTTACAATTTTTTTCTTTGCCTGCTCGTATTTGTTTTGTTTGGCATTTAGGTTTTGTGTTACGATTTGCAGGCCATAAAAAATGACAATTTCATGGCAATTCGTCATTTTTATGGATTTATAATTTAGTCGGCTAATGCAGCAGATATTCGTGAAACACCCGAACACTTGACACCTACCGCCGTAATCCTCTTCCACCAGCTGGTAGTACCGCTGCACGAGGCCCGTGTAGTTGCGCGATATGTGATGGGTCTTGAACTCATCCAGCGCGATATTGGCTATCTCCACGACCATTTCGAATCGCGAGCTGCTGTTGTAGTTGTGGTAGTTCATGCTCATGATGGTGGTATTGGACTCAGTCCTCGATTATCCTTGAGTTAAAACTTGAAGTATCCAAAATGATGGGCTTTGGTGGGTGTAATATTCAGTTCAGTTCGTTTGGTCAGAGGCTCGCCGCAGGATGTTGCATACTGCGCTCGGGCCTATCGAAATCACTTTATTGGCTGCACACGCTCAGAAAAATCACTTTCGACTCGCTGTATCGCTGTTTATTATTGCCCAATTCGAATTGGATATAGACGCGCAGATCTGGCTGGATTCTACCACCACACCGTAGGAATGTTTATGCTCAACTGAATCTAAAACTTCTCAGCAATCACAAGATAAAGTAACTCTTTCGCAGCGCCACCGGAGCAGAGCAGCGGCAGAATCGTTGGCAGAGCCTGAGCGGCTGCGATCACGACGCTTGTGCAAAATACTTGGCTGGCACACAACTACAACTACCAAATACCAGATACCAGATAGAGCCCGACTTCGGCAACTGAACGAATGGCGAACCCCCCGAAAAGAGCCATAGAACAACGGAAGTTTCGTTCAGTTGGCGCCGTAGTGCATGCAATTTTTTCTACATCTGTGTTGGTCACAAACCCCCCTAGCTTGCATGTGTGGGTGTGAGTGTGCGTGTGTGTATCTGTGTGTGCTTGGCCCACTGAGTCGCGTTCGAGTTTTTTCGATATTTAGCATGTTCCGTTTGGCATTCAACATTGAATGCCGATGATTATGTTGCCGGTGGCTCGAAACACCGGGTGAATTCAACTTTTTATAGGTCAATGCACTACGATGTGGCTGAACTCTTTGCTGTTTGCAAATGGAAATTTATCTGGCTGCGGTATGCAGTGTTTACTCTTTACTTAATTATACGTTTAAGTTAAGAAAGTTAATAGTTCAATTATTGTGTAATTCTTTTTCTGCATATCAACTGGAAAATATTTGTAGCTCACTTAATAAACTATTTACTAAGCTTGTATATAAAGAATAAATAGTTGCAGCAGTAAAACTTAATTTCCAGAACTTTCTAATTTGTAATGGCCCTCACAGAAGAACAAATTTTTTTATATAAATATGAAAATGTAACAATTTCAAATATGAAAATGTATTAAATTTATACATATATAATAAATCACAATTTATTCCAATATTCAGCTTAAAAGACAACTAAAATTCAAGAAAATAAAAAACCTTTTTTATTTTATTTGTTAATCATTTTGTTTTTAACATGAAATCGTATTTACTGAAATACGCCTTTAAGCAATTGCAATATCAAACTTTACAATTACAACTTAATTATAAATCTTATCGAAGCGAATTATTAGTTGATTTTATTAATCCCTTTAAATGCAAAGTAAGCCATAAAAGTGAGTACTTAAATATTATTGCCTATAATTGCTAAAACCTCATATTAATAAACGGATTTAATAACCTGCCAATGAGACCCCTTCTTACCATAAATTATTCCTACGGAGTCCCAGCTCCCTTTTCACCTTAGAGCTTTGAAGTATAAACATCTCTATTGTTTGAAATTTGCATACTTTTTGTTTTTATTTTCTAAGGAGTCAAACGGGTTGTCCACCAGCGAAGCACGTACAATTAAGACAAGTTTTAATGGCATCTTTAATGTGCAAGTGCCTTACATTGTGACAAACTAAATTGAAGGCATGAGCCACGTTGGTTCCTGGACTTCCGGCTTGTCTTCCAATGACCTCAGCTGGCGATGTTTATTTGTAATTCCCATTCATGCTTACAAGCAGCATAACCTGTTCGCGGCTAATCGGCCCTGGAGGTGTTGATTCGGCGTTTGTTTGCTGATATGCTAAGTCAATTCTCGGGCAGAACGATGCCAAGAATCCAGAAGAATTTGGTTTTCGGAGTGGTAAACGTGTCAAGGTGGCCATCCGCAGATGGCCTCAGATCCATAATCAATTCGCTGATACATAGACGTGTGGAAATCCATCGAGATCGAAGGCAAAAGGCACTGGGTTATGTTAGTCGTTAAGTTGGGTAAATTATCGGACGTGCAGCGAAGCCTTCGTCGGGGTTTTTTTTTAACTCGCTTTATGTTACCCGTAATTATGCCATTTAGTTCCATACAGAACCATTTAGGTTTTGCGACAAATTAACGCCGAGCGCATTGAGTGCCTAGTAAATGGTTCTTTGAAGTTCAGCCCGGCCAGTTCGACCTTTGGCTTGATGATTTTGGCCATGTTGGGGGCCGCTGTGTTCGAATCTGAATCCAAAGCCGGCAAGGATGACGTTGGCTACTACCAACACGGCTAACGGTTGAATGCGGATTGGCCACGCTCGACTCTTCGTCTCCGAAACGTGGATGGATGAGCTTGGTAACACAGCCCCATGGTATTTCACGGCCTAGGTCTAGGTTAATCGGAAGTTAAAGAAGTCAAAGAAGTCTGAAAAGTCAAAGAAGGCAACGCCGCCAGCCAAGCAGACCAAGATTTCGATGATAAATGTATGCTTTGATAGCTCCAGTTTTGTTGCGATTTTGAGCGTCTTTTTTTTGCAAATTTCCGTTCCATCATTTCAGATTTCAGATTTCTCATCTTTTGCCATTGGCGGAACAGCTTTGACTTCATCATAATCAATATGTTTTCAATGTGTTGATCATAATGGCAAATGCTAAATGTTTGTCGCTTATTATACGCCTGATTAATGGCCATGGTGTTGACAAAAATTCGATACTTCAGCCGGAAAGTTGTCACATGTTAATAAACTAATTATTGAAATGACGTTATCATCATTATTTCAGTGGCAGCATACAATTATAATCTACGATAATACAAAACATAATTGAAGTTCTAGCGTTTACTGAGCAAGCTGCTATTTACTTCCCAAATTATTAAGTATCATATATAGCTCTAATATAATATTTGCTTTATCGGTTAGCCCATTTATTACCGAGCACATTCCAGTCGGGCAACAATAGCCGCGGAATGAGCAAGCAAAAAATTGTATTAGCTGGTGCATGTAGTAAATAATTAACAATCATAAATTAATTAGCACTGGATAGAATAAGGTGTGGGTGCTAACACGTCGCACAATAGCCGCTTTTCGGAGCATTTTAGAACCATCGTACGTGAAGTCCGCTGATTGACTCTTGACCGCCGGCGTTTCTTAATTGATAACGGAATCATATTCGAAAGGCTGGCCGTGGGTCAGCCCCTCTGATTATCGGAGCTGCAAACAGCAATTACCAATTAATCGGTTACAGACGCTTAGCCAGTTTATTCATTAAAGTCACAACAATTTTTCGAACGGAGTTTCGAGTTGCGCAATGGCTGCCATTCGATTGCTAAATGCTTCATGTCAACTTTTCAACTTGTCTGCGCTGGTTTATCTCCAGATCTGGCCATATATAGTACTTAGTCTTAATGGCGTTGCAATTTGGTGCAGAAAAAAGCGAGCATGCCCTTGAGACGGCCCCAAAAAGAGGCAAGTCTTTAATTTAAACATATTTATATCACATGTGCAGATGTATTCGCGCATTCCGAATTTCAAGCTCAACATACACGGCCTGTATTTGCGCGGCTAAGACTTTTGCCGAGCACACACCACTTTTGGCCCTAATTGAATGGGTAAATCCAGAAGATGCCTGCTCAGATTCCGTTGGGCAATTGCCAAAGGGAATTGGTGGAGCCGAGAAGATGGCACGTTCGATGGTCACGATAACTAATAGATATGATCAGGTGCGCAGAAAGCAAATACTTAAATGGGGATTCAACAATAAGTAACAAAATTAAAATGGCTTTTTAAACATCAAAGATGTATGTTTGCAGATTCAACAAAATTAAATGCATTTTACATTGAATATCCCTGTGACTCATTGAAGTAAAATTTGATCAGATAACTTTATTATTTGTTAAGTAAGTGGCTCAGCTTACAGAAGATTAGAACCAGAAAACCCCCTCTCCGTCAACCTCTGCACATGGCCAACTGAGATTAGAGGTCGAGTGGCGCTAAGGCTGCTAATCAATTGGCCAAACGTGTGCTCGGTAACAGCCAAACAAATCCAGTCAATGAAGAAGATGCTCCCAGTTCCATGTCCAACCAATCTGAAGCAAAAAAATACATAAACCCAACCGAGTGGCTTGTAGTTTATTTTCGGGTTTATGAGCCAAGACGGCCGGCCAGTGATAAAGTGGCTAGGTTCTGGCAAAGCACACGTCGCTGACTCGAACTTGAAATCTGTGCGATACATAACTTTGAATACAATCAAGAGCGGGTTAAGCCAAGAATAGATCCCTCGTCACTCAATTAGCAATTAAAAGTTCACTTTGAACTTGACACAGTTGTTGAGCGCGAAATCCAAAATAAAAAACAAAAAAACAAATACCCAAAGACGGCAAATTGCCTCAGTTACGTTTCGAAAGCTGGCAAAAAAAAAGAAGAAAAATATGAAGACTAGAATTTATAATTAGGCATTTAAATGAAAACCGCTCTGCGCGATTGAATCTATCGCTTCTTACGCATTTTCTGACTCTCAGTCATCAACTGATCGATCAGGAAACGGAAGTGCGATTTCTTTTTCTCCACATATTAATCTTTTTGTTTTTCTCTCAATTTATATGAATTTATCGCTCGAAACGAGTTCCGCCCAAGGGCAAGCCATCGGTAGTTGCTAGTTGGTAGTTGTTGCCCAGCTACGACTCCAAAAATTCGATTGATTGGAGATCGGATTGGATCGGAGAACGAGAGTTCGCAAGAAGCCCAATAGATATTGGAATATTGTATATTGGTGCTACGGCATTTCCGCACTACGGAAACGAGTTCGATTTGCGCAATTGACTCGGTAACGAGCCACTTTGGATGAGTTTTATGGCCATAGAGCATCGACCCGGTTACAATCGCATCCCAATCAGTCGCGACCTGTAATCGGCTAATTGGACCTGCTCATTTGCCCATTGTTCCTCTGAGGGGGTTGTCATCTAATAATAGGCCTACTTCGAGGTAGGTAGGAACTTGATTTTTCGTTAGAGCCTCCGTTATGTTTATAATTAACATTTGTTAGCAATGTGGGAAATGCCATTGACTCCCATTTAATAAGTTAGTTTATCAACATGGTTCATAGTTCTAATAGATTAAGGTTACACACCTAAATATGATATTCGTTTCTTCTTAGTTAAGTTTAGAATACTCTCGGGTTACACTGCAGGTAACAAAAAAAAAAAGCATTTATAAATAAAGGCATCAAGTAAACGTTTATATTTGACATCAATGATTTTATAGTTATTCAAGATCAAGATCAATAGTTTGCGTTGTAGAAATTCAAAAAAAATAAAAAGTGTCCCAAGGCTAAAGTTCTATACCCCATAACTCCAGTTATCTTAATCGGATTTTAAAGTGGCATACCTCTAAATGTTTCTGGCACAATTTTCTAAAAAACTGCATTCAAATTTAGAAAATGTTTAAAATTTAATTTTTTTGTAATTTTTCTGATGTATTATGTGTAGAAATTCAAAAAAATTGAAAAGTGTCCCAAGGCTGAAGTTCCATACTCCATAACTCCAGTTATCTTAATCGGATTTTGAAGTTTCATACCTCTAAATGTTTCTGGCGCAATTCTCTAAAAAACTGCATTCAAATTTAGAAAATGTTTAAAATTTAATTTTTTTGTAATTTTTCTGATGTATTATGTGTAGAAATTCAAAAAAATTGTAAAGTGTCCCAAGGCTGAAGTTCCATACTCCACAACTCCAGTTATTTTAGTCGGATTTCGAAGTGGCATACCTCTAAATGTTTCTGGCACAATTTTCTAAAAAACTGCATTCAAAGTTAGAAAATTTTTAAAATTTAATTTTTTTTGTAATTTTTCTGATGTATTATGTGTAGAAATTCAAAAAAATTGAAAAGTGTCCCAAGGCTGAAGTTCCATACTCCATAACTCCAGTTATCTTGATCGGATTTTAAAGTGGCATACCTCTAAATGTTTCTGGCGCTATTCTCTAAAAAACTACATTTAAATTTAAAAAATTTTTAAAATTTAATTTTTTTGATGTATTTTATGAAGGAATTCAAAAAAATTAAAGTGTCCCAAGGCTGAAGTTCCATACTCCATAACTCCAGTTATCTTGATCGGATTTTAAAGTGGCATACCTCTAAATGTTTCTGGCGCAATTCTCTAAAAAACTGCATTCAAATTAAAAATTTTTTTTAAATTTAATTTTTTTGTAATTTTTCTGATATATTATGTGTGGAAATTCAAAAAAATTGAAAAGTGTCCCAAGGCTGAAGTTCCATACTCCATAACTCCAGTTATCTTGATCGGATTTTAAAGTGGCATACCTCTAAATGTTTCTGGCGCTATTCTCTAAAAAACTACATTTAAATTTAAAAAATTTTTAAAATTTAATTTTTTTGTAATTTTTTTGATGTATTATATGAAGAAATTCAAAAAAATTAAAGTGTCCCAAGGCTGAAGTTCCATACTCCATAACTCCAGTTATCTTGATCGGATTTTAAAGTGGCATACCTCTAAATGTTTCTGGCGCAATTCTCTAAAAAACTGCATTCAAATTAAAAATTTTTTTTAAATTTAATTTTTTTGTAATTTTTCTGATATATTATGTGTGGAAATTCAAAAAAATTGAAAAGTGTCCCAAGGCTGAAGTTCCATACTCCATAACTCAAGTTTAATTAATCGGATTTTGAAGTGGCATACCTCTAAATGTTTCTGGCGCTATTCTCTAAAAAACTACATTTAAATTTAAAAAATTTTTAAAATTTAATTTTTTTGTAATTTTTTTGATGTATTATATGAAGAAATTCAAAAAAATTAAAGTGTCCCAAGGCTGAAGTTCCATACTCCATAACTCCAGTTATCTTGATCGGATTTTAAAGTGGCATACCTCTAAATGTTTCTGGCGCTATTCTCTAAAAAACTACATTTAAATTTAAAAAATTTTTAAAATTTAATTTTTTTGTAATTTTTTTGATGTATTATATGAAGAAATTCAAAAAAATTAAAGTGTCCCAAGGCTGAAGTTCCATACACCATAACTCCAGTTATCTTGAGCGGATTTTAAAGTGGCATACCTCTAAATGTTTCTGGCGCAATTCTCTGAAAAACTGCATTCAAATTTAGAACATTTTTGAAATTTAATTTTTTTGTAATTATGTAACATGATTATGTAATATGATAGTCGGGGAACTCGACTATAGCATTTTATCTTGTTTTGGCTGCATTGCGATTTCTGTGGGAATCCCTGAAAAATCAATTCATCATCGGTTAAAACCTACCACATTTAATTATGGTATTATGATAATTAAGAACAATTAAACAATTTTTGTAATAATTATTATAAATATATATATTTTCTTGATTTTTTCCTTTAAAGCCTAAAGTAGGAATATAATAATTATATTTAAATTGTAATTAATAAAATACTTTACAGTTGGTCTCATGAGTTTTAGCCAAGTTAATGTCTTAACTTAAACAATATTTTTCAGCCAAGCTGGCAACACATCGAAAATGTTAAGCTTTTAAGTTTGGCTTTGAAAACTTGAACACCAGATGGCCCCAGCAGCGTGTGAAAAAGCCAAGTTCGGAAATTGAAGTCAGCGGACCGCAAACAACTTTAATGCAGCCAATTAAACATTTAAGAGCCTCATTTGTAATTGCTGTTAACAATCTTACGACTTAAAGTTGCTGTAGGCAGGAAGATAAAATTTGTTTTATTGGAGTACATTTTCAGACTTCTTTAATTTTAGGAAATCAATAATCAAACTGTTTGACGCCCTTGAAAGCAGAAAAATCACCAGATGTCATAATTACTTTATAATGTTTTGTCCCATCGCCAATTAAGAATTCTACAAGCAAAAGAGATTTTGCACATTTGATAGTTACCCTTGCGACTCAATTTTGTCTACGCAATTTGGCGCGAATACACAAACAAATTCAATAATAATTGTTTAACGGTTTGTTGGCCAGTTTGGCTGTTGGCTAAATGTAAATGTTTGCGGAAGATATTTGCATAACTGGCATATATACATTTACACATATATACAGATATATCGAACTCGATCGCATGAAACGTCTGCAGCGGCGGCGATAATAAACTAACGTCTTTTGCATACGATTATGAATTGCTTTATGGCTGGTGGCCAAACAAAAGACGCATGCAAATGAAATCGGAAACACCGGAAGAATTTGTCGCTGGCTGCGGCGCACACGGCGTATGATTGATTCCTTACCAAAGGGATTCACCCGATCACCCGATCACCCATACGCCCGGTCGACATTCACCCACATCTTATGCAGTCCACTCGGATTTGAGCTCGAACTGGTTGGCATAAGTTAATCGGCAAGTTCAAGTTCAATTCGCCGGTGACACAGTTAACATTTCGGTGACCCCAGCCTCAGCCTCCGTTTTAGTTTTCGTTTTTTTCAGACATCGAAGTTCGAAGTCTTGGCCAAAATAGTTGCTATTGGATCGGTTTCATTAACTTGACCCGGAAGTGGGCCTTAATCAATGCGCTGCGATCATTGTGGGTCATTAGAATCCGAGCCCTAGGCCCCAAGAATTTGTATGTAAATTGCCGGGTAAATGCGTCGTTTCCTTTTAACGAAATATTTCTGGCTGTAAATCATTTCATTTACTGCCGATAATAGCAATGTTTTGGGCTTGTTTAAAGCAGTTCTCAAATTGCTTGTAAAACAGTCGATGGAATTTCGCTGAGTCGCAAAGAAAAAGGTCAACGAAATTATAAACCACCTACGCAATTTCAGTTCAGTTCAGTTGGGTTAGGTTCTAAAGTTCATAATGGAGATAAAGCGTGAAAAAGTATTTCAACTGGGTCAAGGTTCCGAAAGCGAATTTGGATGAAGATATAAAAACGGGAGAATTACCAGAAAACGAAAACAAAATAGAATGAACATTTCATTCTGTGGCGATTTGAGGCTATTTCTAGGTTTTGTTTTCATTTTCTGGCTAATGAAGAAACAGCCTAAGAGAATTGATAAATAACTGGCAGAATACATACTAATGACTAAAAATTGTTTAAAAAGCTATTAATTGAGAGAAAATGAAAGTATCATTAGGGTACATGTACGTATATAAAATATATATATTCTCACTTGATAGAATGCCGATTTCTGTTTGTTATTTGCAAACTAATATTCACAGATCTCCACTTTGATTGACTGAAAATAATTCTAAAATATCTTCGAAATCATTTTATTTTGCAAATGTTTAAATTGCAAATCTGTTTATAATGTCTTGTTATTGAAATTTTCTGGAAGCACACGCAAAGCCATAAATTCGCAATTCTCTAATTTCTGCCGCAATCGCTTTGACCAAATCGATCAAAAGTGACAACTATTCAAGAATATTTTATGATTCTTTTAATTGTACAAAAGGCTGCAGAGCCAAATAAAAAAACGAATTAAAAGCCTGGCGAATTTGGCCAACAACAGCAACAAAAAGCCGGCAACACGCACACAACACCAACATTGTCATCGCAACTATCATAGAAAAACGAGACCATACAATCGTCGATTCATTTGCGCATATAGCTTATAGCATATAGCATATAACATATAGCATATAGCGCATGGGATCCACGAGGCACAAAAGAACATCTTAACGCTATAGCTAATGTCGAAGATGAGGATGAGCAAGATGCCAAATAGCCGAGACAAAAGTTCGGCTAAACAAAAACTAAAGCTGAATCTAAAACCCCAAACTGAAGATGAACTCAAAACAGATACAGAAACAGATACATTGGCAGATACAGATACGGATACAGATACAAAAACAAATCGGAAGGCAGAGACGAAGAAACAGCAGTGCCAAATCGAACCTTTAGTCAAAATTTTTATACATAGCGCCGTACAACTCGGCGGAGCAGTTCAGTGCGCGTACAAGTCTCGTGGGTAGCGGATGCCAGCAAAGGTCTCTCCTCACTACACTATAATATACCATACTAAACTATACTATACCTCACCACCTAGTGCCTCGTATCAGCCTCATTTGAGCAAGACTAAAGATGGAACAAGACTGAAAAACAGTTGTCACGGTGTTAACATTAAGTTGTCGTCGCTCAAAATTAAGTGCACGGCAATCGAAGAGATTGCAACAGGTGCCCAACAAAAGCGCTTCATCTGTGTGTGCCAGTGTGTGTGTACATATAATCTGAGTGATCAATCAGATCAATCGCTGGATGAGAGGAGTTATAGAATCTGTGGCTCAGACTGGGTTGAACCGCCTGCAGAGGTCCCCAAAGTGAAGTTCCATAGCTATTCAATCGTCAGATCAGCTGAACAGATATGTTTTTAAAGCTTGGGCATTTCAAGAGTTAGTTATATATCCTCAAGCATAAACAAGCAACTTAGAACTTTAAGGGCTGGGAAGGAAGGCTCTGAATCTATTTACATCCTGCCTAAATTTGCTTAGAAGCACAAGTATTGCATATCTTGAGTCTTTCACTAATATCAAAGTCTGTCTTAGAACAGCGAATTATTTTGCTATAGAACCAGAAACTGCCTTATAAGAAACTGAGAGATCCCCACCTGCCATGGTCATTAAACCTTTGCGACACATATTTGATTTTTGCGAAACAAAACAAGGCCTACGAGCATATTGGGCAATAGGTGACACAATTTTCTATTTGCGCGCTCTAGGCGCCGCCAAGGTTTCCAGATCTCCGGACACTTACCAAGTGACTTACCAAGTGGAAATGCCTCCAAATTTGCTGGCGATGATCAGCCAGACACGACGGCGTCCAAGTGATGCGACATCATATGGCTTAGATCATAATTCCCACCCATTCCAGGCTACAAAAATAAAAAAAAGCAAGAAACGCATGGCAAGGTCGTGGCTCCAACTGAAAATTGATAAACTGGATTTTCTTGGCTGGTATTTGGCCAGTCTTTCTTTGCCATAACAAAAGTGTTTAGCACCTTTTGGCTTATGACAGCTATTTGACCATTCTGCGCGAACTGTTGCAGGTAATATTCAAACGGAGCCATAACACCTGAAGTGCAGGAAATGACCGGAAAGCTGAAGTCAAACCTGTTGATGGCTGATAGCCAAGTGGAGTGTTGGCCAACTTGCCCTTCAAAATATCTAGATATCTCCGTTTCATTCGTTTATTATTTCTATTTGTTTCTCACTTCGCGGACCAAGAAGCCGATCAGAATAGCCTCGAAAACGATGAAAGAAATCATAATGCTATTCGATTATTTTGTGGTCTTAATCGGCCTTAGCCAAGTTCAAGTGTGAGTCGACTTCAAGTCAAGTCAACAAACGTGATGCTTGGAATTTGGCATAGGTGCTTGATAACTTGATGGTTTTCTAATGCCCCTTGGAAGAGCAAGTTCTGCGCGGTGATTAATCATCGAAAGTACTACTTCACTCTGTCCCACTTCGGACTAAACGACTTCTGTAGAAGATCTCCGAGATCCGTAAGAGTGGCAAGCCCCATCTCAAATCCAAACAAACTGCAAAACACAAATATAATTTAGCTGGGTGTGCTAGTGGGTTTTATGCGTTCCACACGTGAGGCACCGAGGTACTGAGCTACTGAGGCACTGAGGCACTGCCCAATTTACTCGGCTCTTGGATTGTGAGGCAACCGTGGGCTCCATATGGAGTTGAAGTTTTGAGGTGGCCACCAATTTGTTGCGGGCTGTTGTGCGCTGCGGTTGTTTAATTCATAATAATGAATATAATTTACTGTTACTGTTACATGATAATTTCACGGCTTTTCACCGTCACCGTCACACATTTGCTATTTGCTAGTCTCCTTCGCCTTTGTTTGATTATTATTTTAATTTTATTTAGATCTCTGGGCTCGGCAACAGCAACAGCAATGTCAAAAGCTGACGCTGGAGCTGAAACTGAAGCTGAAGCTATAGCTTTGGCATTAGTTGCTCGAGAATCGCATTAACATAACTTAACTACGAAGACTCGAAAAGATCTTTCGCTCATCCAGACTCCCTTCCGATCTTCCCACTTCGTTTAGATTTCGCAAAACTCGTTCGTTGCGACGCAGGCTAAGCAGATTTTTGAATTTCACATCGAAACGATCGGCGCTATATAATCGTATTTGTGGGAACAAGAATCCAACGTGCAGATTTTAAAAATGGCAGCCGTCAACGCAACGCAGGTGGACTATTGGAACTTTCTGTTCACCGATCTGGCAGGTGAGTTTGGGGGGAACTACCTGCGTCGTATACAGATGCTGATCAAATCTATGCTATCCATTCCCACGTAGATCCCCGCACCAATGACTGGTTCCTGATCAAGTCGCCACTGCCCCTGCTGGGCATCCTGGCCTTCTACCTCTTCTTCGTGCTGTCCTGGGGACCCAAGTTCATGAAGGACCGCAAGCCCTTCAAGCTGGAACGCACCCTGCTCGTCTACAACTTCTTCCAGGTGGCGCTCAGTGTATGGATGGTCTACGAGGGCGTCGTCATCTGGCAGTACTACAGCTGGCGGTGCCAGCCGGTGGATTGGTCCCGCACCCCCAAGGCCTATCGTGAGGCCCGCGTCGTCTATGTCTACTACCTGGCCAAGATCACCGAGCTGCTGGACACCATCTTCTTTGTGCTGCGCAAGAACGACAGGCAGGTGACCTTCCTGCACGTCTACCACCACACTGTGATGCCCATGATCAGCTGGGGCACCAGCAAGTACTATCCCGGCGGACATGGCACCTTCATCGGCTGGATCAACTCCTTCGTGCACATCATCATGTACTCCTACTACTTCCTCTCCGCCTTCGGACCCCAGATGCAGAAGTACCTGTGGTGGAAGAAGTACATCACCAACCTGCAGATGGTGAGAACGCTTTATATGCTATCCGTGGATATCTATAGTATTTCAGTTTTATGGGTTGGAAAGGTTTATTGCTAATGACTCAATCTCAGAACTGAATAAGCAAGCAGCAAATATTAAAATGTATTTGTTTATGGGGCTGTGCTTGAAAGTGATAAATAGTTTTATTTTGTTGTGAGATTTAAGAAATCTACAAGTCTGTGCATTCTTAAAGCTGTGATAAAAGAGAATATCTGTAATAACTGAAAAAATATAACTAAGAGATAGATAGATACATGCTTCTTTATCGATAGCTCCAAATGGCTTCCCATTCTTACCATTATCCCTTATTGCAGATCCAGTTCTGCTGCGCCTTCATCCACCAGACCCAGCTGCTGTACACGGATTGCGGGTATCCCAGGTGGTCGGTGTGCTTCACCCTGCCCAACGCGGTGTTCTTCTACTTCCTGTTCAACGACTTCTACCAGAAGTCCTACAAGAAGAAGCAGGCAGCCGCCAAGGAGAAGGCTCTGTTGGCGGATAACAACAATGATGGATGTGCCAAGAACCTGAACAAGGCCATTGAGCTGCAGCAGGAGAAGCAGAAGGCCTTGTAAGAGGGAGGAGCACGGCCACCCACCGCCACCGCCACCACCACCGCCACCGCCACCCACCCACACACCACCCACAACACACACCCCTTCAATACTCGTACAAAAAACAAAAAAAAAAAAGCGGGCAGAAACACCCGCTGAGAGCCACCCATGTTCTATGTGCAACCTTGTTGACTAATTTCTTAAGTAATCCGCCGCCAAAAAGACGTGAAGCACGCAAAAAATGAGAAAAATAAGAAAATCAGAAACGAGACGAATAGATATTTGAGCAAATGAGGTTTTCGAGACACAGAAACACATATTATGTAAATGTAAATGTAAATTTAAATGTTCAAACAGTTGAAATGGCTTTTTGCCGCCATCGTCATCATCGCTCGCTCCGTTTGAAGTTCGCCATCGTTTCTGGCGGACCCAAATGAAAGAAGTCGTATGTCTTTCGGCCAAAACTGAAACTGAACTAAGTTAAGCAAACAGGCAGAAGAAGCGTTAGTTGTGTAAATAAGTGTAGGTACGCATGCGAATGTGTTTTCTTTAGATTTTATATACGTGTGGTATGTAAAGTAGGCATTAAACAAGTGAAAAACTAGCTAATACGAAACCATAAATACAAACACAATTTACAAATATATCTAGAATTTTTTCTACAAAAATATCGTAAAACACAATGAGTGCTATTCTTTTTCTTATGAATGGGATGTGAATGGGAATACTTGTGGTTCTAAGCTCACAAGTGTCCACTTACTGAGAAAGATTACAATTTGTCTTATGGGAATTGTTCATAGGAATTGATGCTTTAGATCATTCCTACATCAGGATCATTGTTAATAGATTGAATGATCTTGTTTGCAAAACAAAATCAAAATTAAATATTCAATGATTTTTCTATGTAACTGAATTTCCTTTAATTTAAATAATAAATCATTTAACAAAGCCTTGAAAACATTGCATATGCAGCCATTTCCTGTAATCATTTGTGTTCGTTCCACTTTGATTTATGGGCTCAAACCACTTAAACGGCATTTTTCTTTTGGGCATTGGAGTATCTCCCAATTTGCATCCCAATCTAACCATTCATGATCTCAGTAAGCCACCGATAAATCACACGAGGAAACCTTTTCTCATGGCACCAACTTAAATCGAATCAGCTGATGTATGTATAACCAAGAACCTATTCATTCTGCAGCGGAAGTCAAGATGATTTAAATATGATTGGGCGTGGCTAGTACAACAGGTCTATGGGGTGATGCTATGACGCTGCTGCTCTGGACACGATCGGTTCATGAATTTTTACGAGACTCTGGGAAGACGACCACTTGGCCACTCATTAGAGCTCATTTCGCAGGCACCTTGAACGGCGGCGAGATAAGATTTTGATAAATTCCACAGCCTTTTATTGATCAATCAGTCAAATCGGAACGGAACTGAAGCGGAAGTAAAAACGCATCTTCGAGTGGGGTTGCGGCCATCCGCCGTGCGGATACAGTATTCAATAAAGCCGGTTTGGGCACTTGACCTTGATCTTGACCACAAACACGAGAAAACAAAGCGCAGCTCTGAGCCAAAACTCGGTTTTCAGCTGGTCCCAACCGGAGTTAACTTATGCCAATATTATTCCAGTTTTATGGTCTGATCAGCATACACGTAGATTCTATCAGTCACACGATTCAAGCTGAAGGAGATCTCCGGCGCTATTTATATTTCTACCGTGAAACTGGAAAAATTTCCATAACCACAATTTAAGGCATACTTTCAGGCCGTTTTTGTTTTGAAGCCAACAGAGTGCGGCCTATGCAAATTTCGCGAAAACGAGGCTTATTTAAAATAAAACGCCTACCCATAGATACAAACCAAACTCTTCTCCAGGCCCTTGAACTTTGACTTCAATGTGAAGAAACAACAAGAGTTTCTAATCGGAATCTGCATAAATAAAGGTGCTTCATGTGATGCTGGGACATGTGTGTGAGTCAAGGCGAGGGCAGAAAAAATTGATTAGAAATTCTAATTTGGCAAAGACATTCTCCATTCGTCGCCAGGGTGTCTAAGCCTGGCCAGCAAACTGGACGGGGGACACAATGTTGCATAATCATGGCAGCACGCGTTTTAAGTTCTACACTCATAAAAATACACACAACTCACTTGGTGACATTTAAGCAGCTTGAGAATTAATATGTTCAGATTAAGTGGTAATTTTCAGAATCACTTTTTAGGGCTGCAAAATATGTGCTTGGGAAAACATCTATAATGTAATCTGTTCTCAGATCTGTTGGACAGTTGACAAGAAACAGGTAGTATATCTTCGGTTAATCGACAGATATTAATCACGTTTAATGGCCCAAGAATAGCAGATGCCTTGCAGATCTGCATAATTTTTTCTCTGCGTGTGGATGGAGCGCGTGGCCATGGTGTTGTCATAAATAATAGGATCCAAGGGGATCCGGTTTGGTTACCTAACCCAAGAGCCGCGCTTAGAAATAGAAGTCCGAAAACCCCCAAGCCCCAGCCCAAACCCGAATTTCGCCGGCAAAGAACAGACACAGACTTCTTGGTTTTATTAAATATACAAAAATCAAAGTTTTATTGAATTTTTCTTGTTTCGCGAAACGATTTACGGCTGCATTTCATTAATAAGCTCTATCACACTAGCTCACACACACTCAGCTAGAAAAACATTAACACGTACTCAGACTCACACAAACATGGCCACATTCACGCACTTAGGGTCCTAGCTACTTTTTGGGTTTGAATCATCATCATCATCCGCCTGCCCGGCATATAAACATTATACAAGTTATTCTCCGCAGACTACAGACTACTGGTAGTTGGTAAAGGTAAAAGGTAAAAGTAAAAGGTAATGGTAATGATAAAGGTAAAGGTAAGAGTTACAAACTAAGCCCCGCTCTAAAAAACGTAATTGCTAACTGAAACCCAGGCGGCATCGCCGATCATTCCAGCTTCATGGGCTTCACGCTGTTGTTGTTCAGATCGAGGTAGGCCTTTCCGGCCTGGCCATTCTGGAGCAGATGCTTTCCGGTGTTCATGGTCTGCGGCATGCAGCCCATTCCTCCGGCGGCGCGCAGAGCGGATTGGGCCAAATTGCTGCCGGTGGTGCGACTGCCGCCGTCCACAGACTTGGCCTTCTTGTAGGTCTTGCGGTAGAAGTTGCCAAACAGGTACAGGAAGATGATCGTGTTGCCCACGAAGAAGAAGGTCAGTGTCTTGGGCATGTTGCAGCCCTTGGCGCCCACGGTCAGCATGTAGCCCAGGATGAGGACGAACTGGATCAGCTGGATGCTGGTCATGTACTTCTTCCACCACAGGTACTTCTGGTACTGGGGTCCCATTGCGGCGACCATGTAGTAGAAGTACATGATGATGTGCACGCCCGAGTTCAGGATGCCAATGATCACGCCCTGCTCCCCAGGAGCGTACTTCAGGTAGCCCCAGGAGAAGAGCACCGTGATGGTGTGATGGTACACGTGGAGGAACGACACCTGGTTGTCCTTCTTGCGCAGCACAAAGAACGTCGTGTCCAGCAGATCGATGATCTTCGAGAAGAAGTAAAACCAGGCGCCGGAGTAGAGCGTCAGATTCTGTTCCCTGGTGCGGTTGATCTCGCACTTCTTCGAGAAGATCGACGACATCACATTGCTCTCTTGGATGGACTGCAAGGAATTGAAGGAAAATTAATAATACTAATAAATATTATCGTATATTCAAATTCCTTGTACGCGTGACAGTGATTTTAATTGGGGCAGTTCATTCGTTCATGCATTCATTCATTAAGGCGCAATGAAAAATTTATAGTTCAACAAATGTCAAAAAAAAAGTGCACGATAAAATGTTAAACGAATTCTCTGCACACTCGGTTTAGTTAAACATTTCTAATGCAGATACAAGTACAACCCAGCCCGCAAATTTGTATGTTCGACAAGCACTTTGCTGCTATGTTATTAAAAATGAATAATACATAAAATGAGATCGTGAAACAAGTTGAATAGTTATGACGCCCCGTTTTATGGACTCACCGTGCGGCACATCCAAATGGAGTACAAGACCTGGAAGGCATTATAGAACACCATGATGCGCTTGAGGTCCATGGGCTTGCGGTTCTTCATGTACTCGGGTCCGATCTTCAGAACGAATGCCAAGTAGACCAGGACCACGGCCACCACGGGGGCAGGGGAGCTCATCAGGAACCAGCTGTCCACCGTCTCATCTGAATGAAATTGGAATCATTAGTTTCGTTTCATATACGTTCCCAGTACGAACCAACTCACCCACTCCTTTTGAGAGGCCGGAGATGCGCTCCTCCACAATCTTTATGTAGTTCGTCATGTTGGGTTTCTGTTTCTGTTTTTGCAACTGGCAATTGGCAATTGGCAACTGGCAACTGGCAACTGGCAACTGAAAGAAAAAGGCTTTCGAGCTTTAGAAATTTTCGGCCAAAAATCGAGAATTCAGAGCCCGACGTCCGCACGCCGCGTTGCCGAAATATTGAATGAAAATAGGTATTCTAAATCGCGATCGCTTAGAGAGGCTCAGCACGTTTGTTTCTGCTCGGCTCGCCGAGGATCGTGATTCGCATCGGAATTTCTGGCGAGGCACGCCAAAGATTTATTAATGAAAGGCGCGAAGAAATCGCTTATTGAGTTATCCCCAATCGAATGATGAATGACGACAGCAGGTTGGCGGACACAGATAAGGCTGATGCAGCTTTGCGATATGCTCTTATATAGACATATGTATCTGATCTCTGGATTCAATGGCCGAACGAAAATGTCTTGAAGAACCAAGATTCTTGGCTGAGGCCAAGACCGCAAGTCAGTGGCTGGAAACCTGAAACAATCCGGACTCAAGGCTTCATTTGAATTTCTCGCCTTGGCACTAAAGTTAAGACTAACTTTGGCATTCATCTCGGCATCTCCCTGAACATCTGCGATTCTATATTTTTTCTGCTTCTCTGTGTTCAGATAAAATCGGCGAGGCACTCGGACTTTATGTTCTAGCCATTGGGGCCCGTGTTCTTGGTTCACATTGTTATTTAAATTGCACACGGAAAAGTTTGATTGAAAATGACCCATCAAATGTATTCAATTACACGGCAGACAGAACTCGTTTCTTATGTAACTTTTCGAGGCGTTCTCCTCCTCATTAACCACTGACCTAGCCAACTCGAACCGGAACTCGTTCGGCAGAAGATTCTCGAATATATAAATGTAAGATATGTGTATATAGGTTGGCTTGTATAATTAGCTGCGATGCTGAAAGATGTCCAGTTGGGAATGTCGCAAATTGGATCGGTATAAAACTAGTTGTCAAACGAACGAATTTAAATGCTTGTACTTTGAAATTTAAGGCACAGCCTGCTCTGTAATGATTCTCGAATGACTGGAGTTTTGTTCCCTTCTGATTGCAGCAGCACTCTTCATGGATCACATGGCGTGTAATTTGATTTGGAGAGCCCGGCCGAAGAACAGAGCAAACACCTGCCACAGTCGCTAATTGGACACACTCGGCGTATGATTGATATGTTTTGACTACCGCTGATCGACAGCGACTGAGACTAGGTCTCTGTCAGGGTTAACCCGTTCGCAATCGGTTTCGCCTTCCCTTAGCCATATTGCTAAATAGCTATATGGGTATACTATAGCACGGCGTAGCCATTCCCAGACCCATTCGTATGCAAGACACTTGGCACCCATATAGACTGACACTGGAGACAGGAAAAGTGAGCTGGCTGCCGCATCAGCCACATCAGCCACATCATCATCATCATGATCACAGTCGACCAAAAATGTGACGCCAATTGAAAGTCAGGCGAGTGTTCCGCTGGCTGCCTTCGCAGCTGCTGACGTTGATCCCCCTTTTGCTACGCCCCTTTTGGTGGGCAGCCCCCTTTTTGGGAAACCCCAGCACCTTCTGGTGCCACACTTTCGGATATCCAAAGGCCACATCTATACACACCGCTTCAGTATCCACTACGGCAGCGGAGCACAGATTCTGTGAGCAGGTCTTCCGCCTTAAATAAATTTAAAATAAACGCAGAAGCAGCCAGCAACGACATTCTGCCGCGCACGCATTAAAATTATGTGTATTGTATGCATAATTGATTTTCGCGTTTGCCAATTTTTGTACCCTTTAAGAGCTGCTGCCTTGTCAGCAGTATCAGAACACTCGATACTTGGGTACTTGGGTACTTTGGCACTCGGAACTGGGAACTGGGAACTGGGTTTACCCAGCACTCGAACACGGCTTTGCCATAATTTCAAATGTAGTGACTAATCCGAAAAGTATCTAAATATCCAAAGCGCCGCACAGACGTCTGTTTCGGTGCGGAAAAGCACCGAAAAAAAGCGTTAATTTTTACGAATTTAACTCTAAAAATAAAAGGTTCGGGTAAAAACAACTTAATTTGCCACTAATTCGAAATCTAATGAAGGCCGATGGGGCATTAGTCTTTCATCTGCGCATTCGTCTCTGTGTATCTGTATCTGTATCTGCTGCTGCCATTTAAACATTGTTAATGTGCCGCCAGCAGAAATCTGCAAGTTTTGCATGTTTGTTTTTTGCAAGTTTGCGCCTAGAAGCACAAGTATTTTGTGTGTTATGTCGCCACGTGTTTACACAAGAAAAAATATTATTTATTTTGGGAAAATCTTCAGTGTCTGCAATTTATGATAATCAACTAGTTTTGGTTGCTTGCAAGGAAACTAAATATTTTTATATGAAACATATTTATTTCTGGAAATTGCAATATTTATATTCGCAGATCTCCTAAAAATTATATAGCTACAATGATAGTGCTGTGTAAATTGCAGTCCAACGGGGCGGATGTTTTTCTATAGCTCACAGACAGCACGATTTTCACACGCACTTGAGTGTTTGCCGAATGACAATAATTAGTCATGTGAAATTCCCGAATACATTAGTCTATTGAAGTTTGGATATCTGGGAGGTGTTGCGATGCAATCGAATGGCTCCATAAAGGCATGAGTTCTGAGTAGAGGGTATGTCGCCGGCTCGAGCAAACCGAAAATTCTTGAATTTTCCCCCATTGTTTTCCCGACGTGGCTCCAGAGTGCAACAGGTTAATCATTTAGTTTTGCCTGTGTCAAGTGCATATGTTTTATGGTTTCATGCTTGCTTAACGCTGTAAATTAATTTTTTTTTGCCAGCCGAGGCATTTACAGAGGAGGCACAAAAACGCGTCGAGTCAGTCAGCAGTTGGCAAACCGCAGAAACGCCACATAGATACATCCATAACAATAACCCACACGGTAAGAAATATTTTAATATACGATTGAACACAAATTTTGTTAATTCCTTTCCTTTTTTAAGAAATATATGAAGTCCCCTATAGTTTTGTGAAATTGTTTAAAGATCGAAAGCTAAGAACCTTGCATTTGGATTTTAGTATAGTTCAAGCAAACCGTTTGAATATTAACAACAAGATTGGTTAGGATATCTAAAAACTCTGGTGAGCCTAATATTATTTAGATGTTTAAAGTTTAAAATTTGTTCTATTCGGTAATTGACATAATTTATTATTTATTATTTGAAACCCAACATCTTTTTTCCCAGTGCGTCTTAAGCCAGAGTTTGTTGCTGGTGACTTTTTTGGGCCGACTGACAACCTTTAATTACTCTGTAAATATTTGCGGCGTTAATTGGATTTTTTCCTGGCCCAAACGAAACCCTCTGCCTGAGTTTTCGTTAGAAACTGTAACGGATATGGGCCGTGGTCTCTTCGTGGGAACCGCGTCTTCCAATCTGTTTGCCTAACCATGAAATGTGGTCATCTTCGCGAGGGGGAGTGTTTCGTTGGCCGTAGCTGCAGGCGGCCATTTGTTGGCGGTTATTGAAGGCCATTTGGCTGGTGCAGCTGCAAATTGAATCGCAATCGATTACAAGTTCAAATCGTTTAGATTTGGCCGCCTCAATGCTGCAGCCAGAGTCTTGGCCTTGGCTGACTGGCAAAATTGCAGCTCCTCAAGCGAGTTTTCAGCATTTAATCTATGTACGATGCATTGGGTTAAGGTCGACGAGAAATATCAGACGGCCCAATGGCGGTGGCAGCGGAGTTAGCCAGGCTTAAACCAGCCACTGCCAATCGAGCTCTCCGCGTTTTCTTTATTTTTTCTTATTTTTTTTTTTGCGCCCAAGAACTGCTCTCTAATTTATGCAACACTTTCACGCCTTCTGGTTGCCCCAAAAAATGAATCCATATCACTTCCGTACCTGTTGGTTTTTGGCTGACGCGACTCCCTGCTAACTTGGCTAACACACACACGCACTGGCGCGCACACACACTATCGCACTACGACCGTAGCCTGCAGATTCAGTTTCAGTTTACGGACTCGAAACTCGGATTCGGATTCGGACTCGGATTCGACTGCGGCAAACGCCAAGAAGACACTAATATGGAGTTCTACCCGCTCGGCTGTATAAATAAACAAAATGAACGCGCTTCGCAGGCCGGCCAACATTTGACGCCGCAGTCGCTGGCGACGCTGGCAGCGCAGTCGACGGTCGGCCCGCACGGCGTATACTTAACCTTTTTTTTAGTTGATTTTTGCGTCACTCGGGCAGGTTCGATACAATGCAAGTCGAAGTCGCGTTAATGGCCAATTTAAGTTGAGCGGCGTATTTTTTTGTTTTAATTTTTTCTTTAGAAACATTTAGTATTGGTTTCTTTCTTAACTGATTTTTGGTGCTTTCTGGTGGTAAGGTCAAGTTTGAAGCCATTAAACCGAATGTCTGCGGCGAGAAAAGAAAGCAAAACTGCTGGCAGCAGCAGATAGGCCAATGCTTTTTCTTCGTTTATTTTGAACAAGTTTATTAACCCTTTCCCGGTTGGCCAAAAAAACATGCAGATCCTATCGCAAAAAGAGCGGCAAAAAGAAAACGAAAGCAAAGAGGGAAGAAAAACAGTACACCGTGAAAACAAAACTTATTTGGACATTTCCAACCACTCTAGTCAAAAATCAACAATTTGTAATAAGTTTTCTGTCTGTACATAGTTAGAACTTAATGAACGTCCAGAGAACATAGTTTGAGACAGTAGTTCATCATCATAAATTCTTACGATACAGCGGAAAACAATCTTATGTTAAGATCTTATGCCACTGAAAGTGTTTGGAATGAATTTCTAAAAACTGTTATGTGCACATTATATATATACATTATGTGTCGCGATTTTAGACAGCACCGTGGAGTTTATATCTTTATTATTTGCTTTGACCTTTCAGTGATAACTCAGGTTAATTGGATTTTGCGTCATCCTCGTTACTTTGTTTTGATACTGCGATATTTTTGTAGGAAAATGTCTCTATAATAGAATGGTCAAGAAATGTACAAAAAACAGAAACCTTTTGTTAATAAAACTGATCCGGCATGACCCTTTTAAGAATGTATAAAATTGGTATAGAAAATATTATATTTTTATAAGTTCTTGTGCTATCTTGCAATTTTTCTTTCAGTGTGCCCTATTCCAGCAACAAAATTGGCTTTAAATAAACCGCTAGACAATTGATTTATTATCGCCGTCACGTCATTGAGACGGACTCAATTGGCAGCATAGTTATATATGTATATATATGCATGGAAATGTGGGGGATGACACGCCCCAACGCTATAATTGGCACTTACTTAACCGCGTTTACGGGCGCAGTTAACACATTTCCAGGTCAATGGGAAGCGATTATCCGTCCATGAATGGGTCGATTTCACGCACTTACTCTCACCGGTCTCCCGATTCCCAGGTGATCTGTGTGACCCATGGCTGTGCTCCACACACGTGCTAAGTGCCCGGTCAAATATTACAATGTTTGTCAAGCTCGATGCACTGCAACTGCGTTGGTCGCCACACTTCCGGGTCTTTAGCATTACCATTTCCATTTCTATCACATGTCGGCGAACAAAATCCAAAAGCCGTTTTGCATTGGTTATCGCATAGTCGACATTCAAAGCGCTCGCATAATCGGCGCTTCGCTTTTGTGATTAAGACCCTGAACTTCAGCGCTAGTAAATGTATTAATATAGTCTATTAATACCGCTAGTCGGGGTCTGTGCGAAGTCTGCTCCTTGGCCGCGTTTCTAACGTAGCTGATCAGAACGCCGAGAGCTGATGGATGATATTGGCCTGGATTGGTCAATAAGGTAGTAGTATCTTAATGGTCTGCCCATGAGGAAAGCAAGTTCTGTAGTCGCATATTTGAAATTGAAATCGCTTAGCAAAGATGAACGACTCTTGACTAAACATACTAGCTTTTATGTGCAATAAATATTCAAAGGGCGCTATTAAAACGTAGTTAAATTGCGCTATTAGGAGGCTGCCAAACAAGTGAATCTTTATTGGGCCTGCATGGCTGGTGATATTTCCTCACTAGCAAAATACCACTTTGTCTGCCCAATTAAGTTTCTCTATTATTAGAATTGTTATTTGCCTACATTTGTGAGTTTTTATAACATGCTTATAAGTGGACATTCTTGTATTGTTTGAATTTCATAACCACTCGATCTTAATTTATTTCATAATATCCCCAAATACGAGTACATATATATTAAGTGAGTTGTTTTGTTTGTGTCTTTCCAAAAGTATGCAAAGAATGGAAGATACTTAAGTAGGTTAAATATCAGGGAACTACACATGCTAATTCATAACTACCAGGCTTAAGTCGACTTCATTGTTCAAGGTCTTTAACGAGATGCCTTAACAATTTTTAAATGATTTCTCTGTTACTGAAGTGTTTACAAGATAGGTGAAAATTTTCTATTCATATAATATACGTCATGTAATTTCGTCACGGTAATTTCTCATGAAAAGAAAAACAATGCATGAGAATTATTTACGCAAATATTCAATATTTGGCCAAGTACCACCTTTGATCGCCAATAAAAAGTTGTTAGCTCTCCAAAAATGGTTGACTTATAACGAAAGCAACTTGTTTACCGGGAGCCATGCGATTTGCTGATTAGTTTTTTCGAATATTGGCGCGCTCTGCACAGAGTTGCCACACTGTTTTACAGAGCTATGACGACACAGTAGCGATAACCGCCGTTAACAGCTGGGTCGTCACAGTATGACCGCATTTCCCTTGTTGCCATATGATTGCCAGAGATTTTCCCTTTCGCGTTTACAGTCACACTGGAAAAACACAGAAAAATTAAATTAAGAAAAAACAGATGAAAAACTGCAATTGAACACAATTGAAGCAAGTGCAGCCACTTGTTTTTCGCGCCAGTGTTGACTTCTGGGCCTGCCGTCGAAGCCACGCCAACTGCACGCCTCTCGAGTGAGTGAATAGTGACGAATCGCCAGTGAAATCGTGTGATTAACCCTTCGCTGGCGTTGTGACACTTTCTGTAACTTCGTATTAAAAAAAGGGCAGCTGCGCAAGTGGAGTGCAGGTGGGGGTTAAACCAGTTGGTAGTATTCCATTTACACGTGGCCTTTTAGCTGAATTTTCCATGCACTTGCTATCTATAATGGTTTCCACGAAACCCTGAACTGTACCTTAACCCACTGAGGATCGCACTCCCATTTGGACCCCATCTTATGTAAAAACGTAATTGGCAGCTACTTTCCTAAGTGATCAAACACACAAAGCCACAAGATACAGACTTAAGTACTACGTAGAAGTAACCAATTCACTGGGGAACAAAGGTCGTTTCATACTATATGGCCAAGCGATCGGAACAGACCAATAATAAACAAATGAAAAAATATCAAATTCCCCAGACGAGCTAGCGTTGAACTAACTCAAACGATTCACATTGCCTTCGAACGACTAAATTGAACAGAACGTATTTCTCTTCCAGACACTATTTGTGGATTGCAAAAGGAATCCGGAATCGTAAGGCCATGGATTCGGCCACAAATCTCCTGGAGCGTCAGGGCTCAGCGGCTGATGTGAGTGGCGGGAGCCATCCCGCCGAAGTAGAGGTAACCACCCAGGCTCGTGCCACTTTTGGCATGGACGCCGAAGGACATGCTACCGAGGAGGCAGTGACCACCACCACGGCCACCTTGCGTAGGGAAGGATCCGACGAGGACATCTTTGAGCAGGTGCAGATGATTCTGCGCAAGCGACGTGGCTGGGGGCCGGAGGACTCGCTCAGCCCCAATGATCTGGACATTCTGGAGTACGACGATGAGTTGGGCGAGGAGGATGACGCCGGTTGTCCACTCCCCTCGACCCCGGAGGACACACAGCTTATTGAGGCGGAGGTGAGTCGGGGCTACCAACGTACATTTCCACCAGGTGGAATAATTACGAAATGCAATTGTCGAATCATGTGGCGCAGCTCTTATCTCTGACCCACCACCATGTGGTTATCGGTTGCCACTTGTTAGTCGCAATTTTCCCTCTGCGCAGGCAGTCGTTTCAAAGTCGGAAGTCTTATCAATTCAAATGTAGCATTGGACAATGTCTATTTGCCACATTAAAATGTACCATAACGATTGTAGTAAAACCTTATCGTGGCCATTTCTCCTTTTTTATGACTCACTAAATACTATTGCTCAATTTAAAGCATCCAATTCCACAGCCACTTTAAAGTTGTACCTTATCTATCGTTGCCTTTAATGTCTGGCTGAAAGCTGTCAAGTAAAATTTCCTTGACTTTGAGCCGTATGCTCTAGACAATCAGCACTTTAGTTCACCGGCTTTAAAGGTCAGGCTTAGATTGATTGCAAAAAGCTTCGGAATAGCCCTTTATACGACAGATGCTAGAAAACAAACAAAAATTCACGTCGATGCGGTGCTGATAATGCCCGGAGAGCTTATCTTATCGCGGAACGCATTCGGTGCTTTCTTGTTCCGCCAACAAAGACTAAACAAATTGAGTATGCGACTGGCATAGACCTCACAGTACAATCGCTTATTGCTTCGCACATTTAGTTCTAGTTCCGTTCGAATCTCTGTTAGCCGTTCAGGATGCAGACGCAGCCGGAGGTTATAGTGCGTGTGAGCCCGGAGCCGGATCTCAATCAAGAAACTTACAGAACCCAGGACACAGTCAAGGAGCAAGCTAAAAATCCCGTCGTTAGTCCCATTAGCTCTTAGTGTTCCATTGCCATTTAGCTTTTCATATCCGCTTTGAGGGCTGTTTAATGTCTTATCACTCTATTCCACAGATGACGGAAGTGCTGAAGGCCGGAGTTCTCTCCGATGAAATTGATTTGGGCGCATTGGCACACAATGCCGCCGAACAGGCAGAGGAGTTTGTGCGCAAGGTAAGCCATGTGATTCAGCCAAGTGAAGAATGGTTTTAATGGAAGATACTCGTCAAGATTTGTGATTTTGTCGCTTTTGTATTTTTTGTTTTGTTTTTATTTTAATAAATAGTTTTAAGTGTTTGATTTCTGTTTTTCTTTTGTGTGGTGCTTATAATTAGCTATCTAATTTCTGTAACTATTTGATAATTTCTTCTTTATTTCGATCTTAGGTCTGGGAGGCTAGCTGGAAGGTGTGTCACTACAAAAATCTACCCAAGTGGCTGCAGGATAACGACTTCCTACACCGCGGCCATCGCCCACCGCTGCCCTCTTTCCGTGCGTGCTTTAAATCGATTTTCCGCGTACACACGGAAACAGGCAACATCTGGACACATCTTCTTGGCTGCATCGCCTTCATCGGCGTGGCTTTGTACTTCATCTCGCGTCCCTCGGTTGAGATCCAAACACAGGAGAAGATCGTTTTCGGCGCCTTCTTCATCGGGGCCATTGTATGTCTAGGATTCTCATTCGCTTTTCACACACTGAGCTGTCATTCTGTAGAGATGGGAAGACTGTTTTCGAAGTAAGTATTCCTCGACTAATTGAATGGATATCCCATTAATTGTTTTGCTTACCTGCAGACTTGACTATTGTGGAATTGCGCTGCTGATCATGGGTTCCTTTGTGCCTTGGCTGTACTATGGCTTCTACTGTCATTACCAGCCAAAGGTGATATACCTATCTGTTGTGAGCATTCTGGGCATCCTCTCCATCGTAGTCTCGCTATGGGACAAGTTTTCGGAGCCGGCACTTCGTCCCTTGCGCGCTGGCGTGTTTATGAGCTTTGGCCTGTCCGGTGTGATCCCAGCTATTCACTACAGCATCATGGAGGGCTGGTTCAGCCAGATGAGCCGCGCCAGTCTGGGTTGGCTGATTCTGATGGGTGAGTGCTCCTAAATATACATTTTTAAGTAATGGTAATACAATGACAAAATACTTGTAGGCCTCCTATACATTCTTGGCGCGTTGCTGTATGCCCTCCGTGTTCCCGAGCGCTGGTTCCCTGGAAAGTTCGACATTTGGGTACGGTTCTAGATGGTATTTACCTTTGCAGTTTTCTGACATTGTTTGATTTTTCAGGGTCAATCACATCAAATATTCCACATACTGGTCATTGCGGCTGCCTTTGTCCACTACCACGGCATCTCTGAAATGGCCATGTACCGTGTCATGTATAGCGAATGCACTGTTCCCATCGAACCAATAACCTTTTAGATGCTGAAGTAGATGCCAAGGAACAATCATCGTAAAAGCACATACAATCCCATTCATATTAATACATATATTAATGCGAACTAGCGCAGTTTTACAATGCAACCTGTTTAGCGTTTGGGGAGCATTTGTACCTTGTTATACAAAATCAACGGAACCATATTCAAGACACAAACACACACTTTACACACAATTACGCGCATTTATCATCAAAATCTAACATATAAAAAAAGATAGCAAAAACAGTTGATTGTCGAATGAAATCTGCAGTAGAGTAATTAATATATGTATGTACAATTATTTATAAAATTCCCATTTGTCTACTTAATGTTGTCGTAAGTTGATTGGCTATTCGAGTAGTGCAGATTTGCTTGCAGCTGAAAATGGGAAAACGCATGATTGCGATATGGCATTCGCTCAAGAGTTCCAATGCTAAAAGAGTGAAAGGAGCTAAAATGACAGCCAGCGATTTCTACTTTAAGTTATGCAATTAGTTGATCCCATTGTGGCATTAGTGTTTATTTAGAGTTGTTAGGGTTGTACGGAGTTATGAACATACATACATTTCGAACGTTAATTGAGGTCTGATTTTACATCCACACACACTGCACACCACAAATTACGCGTCCCTGCACACACACAGCAGAGCATAGCGCAAGGAGCCTAAGATATTATATCACCATATACATTATAAATGCAGAGCTATCATAAAACATAAAGCGAATCAAAACAATAAAAAACTGAGACTTCTAAAAGATCGTGTTGGTGCAGATTTCTTTATTAAGCCATATATTTTATTTCTTGGCGCAAAAACTGTTTTAAGGTTTGCTGATTGCCATTTGGCAATTCTGCGGTTGCCATCACCCTAATGCCTAGTCATAAATATCGCTGCAGAGAACTAGAAATCCGCATCGGGGTTACTAGTGGAGTTCAGTCTGCTGATGACTGGGCGAATGATCAGTTGACTTTGACCCCCTTGATGAAGTGAGCAGCCGTGGTCTAGTCTCTAAAATCTCGGATCTCGATCTGATTCCTCCGCTGCCTTGTGTTCTATGCGTCGTCATTGTCTTCGCCGTGTGCCAGTTTCCATCAACGAATCCGCAGATCGTTAAACCTTTTATTTTGCACGGCGCAAATAAATCGAACTTTGTACTTGACAACTCGTCGGCACGTGTCTTTCAACTAAATGCGATTGCAGTGGTTTTATTTTACCTACAAAATTCAAGTTCAGCAGAAAAAAACCAGCAAATGACTTGGTCGAAATAAGGCGAAAATCAGTTCGGAAGTTGGGCAAAGTGGGAGAAAACCAAAGTCAAAGAGAAATATTTTAAAAATGTCTTAATGAGGCGTAGGCATGTGCACAGCTAAATGGTACAGTGCGGCTTGGACTAGATGATTTTAAGGACTTCACGCATTCACGCAGATCAAAGAAAAGCTATTCATTTAAATAGTTAAATATTGAATACATATATGTAATATATATATATTGTAATTTAATATTTTATCACTCCCATCCAAGTTATCAAGTTTTCACTATAAAATCGATTCACGCATCAAACATTTTTACTCCTCTTCGCCCTCGTGCGGCGTTAAATCCAAAGATATAACTTAAAGTCAAAATAATTTAAAAAGCTAAACGAATGTGTAAATCCAGCCTGCGCTGAATGAGGAATGCAAATCAAGTGGGCCCCAAAAGGTGCCAGATGGGGAAATGGTTGTGCTGTATAAGGCAAGTATTAAGATTAATCGTCACTGTTTTGCCCTGGTTTATGCAAACCTAATTGGAGTTATCTTCAGTTTTTATTTTTATATCAAAACCTTTAAAATGTAACTGGGCTTTCACCTGCAATTAAATACGATATTCAGCGGCCACTGCACGCCACATGTCCGCACTCTAATTACCCTCATTACGCCTAATTTGGCTATTTGCGGGGACCTAGGAACCAGTTTCACTCAGTGGGCCAGCCGGAAGAGAAGCTATCGCCACTTGGCTGTCATCGTCATTATGAGATATGCATCAGCATCCGTGTATCGGTGCTTTGTGCAGTCCAATGTCGGATCCAAAATGCGTACATGTACATATACATATATGCAGAGTTCAGATTGCCACCCAGATTTTGGCTTTCAGCTCTTTACTAATGGTCTTGTGCAGTTGCTTTCATGCGTTAAATTCAATAAGCACACGAGTGAGACTCGGGCTTGGACTCAGACTCAAAGGCGCAGACCCAGACGCAGACTGACAGCCAGCAAGTGGCAACTGGTCTTTGAAGGTTTTCGGCGTTTAAGTGTTATGGTCAAGGCTGCCGCACAGCATCCGCTGTGTGTCCAGTTCGTTAGTTCATTGATTTCCAATCAGCCTGAGTTCACCTCGCCAGCATTCGGTTGCGTTTTTTCCACCATCAGCGTGCTCTAAGTGTTACGTTACGCATTAATTGAGTTTTAATGTACGCAGGCGATTGCGCACGAGAATTGCCACAAAAAGCGACAAAAACGACCGAAAATGACTAAATTAAGAGCAAAATAAGACAAAGAGAAGGAAGAATTTTTTTTGAACCGCCACCTAACGATCAGTCCTATTCTTGCAGAAATACCGAATCCAATCATTTTCATGCAAATTATGGTATCTTGTCAAGTTCAAAAACATTAAAACCGCATAATGCCGACCAGTGTTTTTATTTATTTTCGTTTTGTTGTTGCCAATGTAAAGATGCTTTGAATAAAAAGCTCTAATCGAATGAGTCGTTAAATGAACAGCATTAGTAGTATCTATAAACCAATGCTCCGGGGCATCGACGCGAGTTCGTGTCCGAAGTCTTTTGTTTCCGCCAGGCGACATTGACTTTGAAATGCTTTGTATTAAATACAAAAGTGAAAATTCGGATGGAAATTTTACGGAAATCGTCGCTCAACAATTAACTGATTTATTAAATTGTGCGTTTTGTCGTTTGTTTGAAAATAGGGTTGATCATTTTTAATTAATGTGAATTCAAAGATTTAAAAGAAAAAGACAAAATAAAACAAACTACTGGTAAGTTATCAATTAAATAAATGTATTTATAACTGTACCGCAAAACTTCGATATCTCCTTTCTATACCTAAGCGTGGATTACTAATGACTTTTTTTAACATCAAAACATGAACACAATAGTATTAACACAATAGTATTAAAAAAAAACTATTAAAGTGGTCTAACATTAAATTTTATTATTTAGTTGATTATTCATAAAACATTAAACTACACTTGTGGCGCAGTCCTATCTTACTTTATTTTTTTTACATTATTACTGGCTTAAAAGTATTGTTTTTTAAGAAGCGTAGTATTCTAGGCTCTTAAACGATGGTGCTCACTGTCTTCCGATTGATTACAATGTTATCTGTTGGACACGCCTTGAAATCAGTTCAACCGCGCGGCTTGTTAACGTAACACGCGCTGCGTAGAATCTTCCTCAAATTGCCAAAAATATTTAGCAATTTAAATAAGCTTCGTCACATAGAGCACCTCCAAAATGAGATTCGGGCACGCGTCGGGCATGCCAACATTTTCGGCGGGGGCGACCTTCGCGATGGCGGAAGCTTGATCGGTATCAATTTGGGCATCGGCCGGATCGGAATTTGAAGATTTAAGGCGACACCAATCTGTGAATGAATCGATGGAATCACAGATTTCGGTGAGTCGCGGTGAAGTGCACATAGTATAGATAAATCCGTGGGATGAGTGGGTGTGTCGCTTCAATCAATTAATGAACGAACCGCAGTTAGCTGCATTATTCCCCGACTTTGTTGTCTTTTCCTTCTGATTGAGCAATTAGCAATGGTGGCAAATGTCAGACATGCATTTGCAGCCGCAGTCAGTGCGTCTTTGGACTCCAGTAGACTTCTGTACCCATACCATGGGTTACTCCGCACGGCGTAATGCAGTGCGCGGTGCAAAAGTGCCTGTAAACTGTGACTTTCCGAGTGAATGAGGGAATGACGCGGCTGAAATCCATCAAGTGGCCACTGGAAGCTTTGGGCCGGAGGCATTTTGGGGCCATTTAATTGCACAATCATTTTTGCACACTTTACACACACACACAACTCCCCCTGCAATGGCAAAGGCGAAGGCATATGGGCTAGTCGATGATAAATGCAGTCAGTTTTACTATTTGGTTTCTGTTATGATTTGCACCACTGCCAGCTGCAATATGTGCGCGTATTTTCTCATAAATAGTTGCAAATCGCAAAGAGTCGGTGGCTCATTAAGTTAATTATCGACTTCGCATTACGGTCTGCATACATTAAATACATTACCCGATGGGTAATTAGCTGTGGAGATCCTAGAACTGGCCCTTAAGCACATGCAATGACCGCCAGTCAGCTGGCGCTGGATTCTGGCCGAAACAAAGTGCTGCTGCCTGCTCACCTGTTGCGACCATCGGCCAAGCGATAGCCATACGATCTTGGCCGAGTGCGACCACGACTGCGACTGCGACTGCGAATCTTGGCCGAAAGCGAGGCGGTCGTATTCGTATCCGTGATACGATCGCTACAAGACCGCTTGTAGGGCTGTGATATCGCTTAGTCTGCTGTCGGCGCCTCAACTGCCAAGTATTCGCTGGGTACTCGTGGAGCTGGAGATCTCGAGATCAGCCGCCTCGTGTTCTGTGTGTTCTGATCGACAACGCCGCGTATGCGTAATATTGCCTCGAAGGATAACAGAAAGTGCTTTTAGTGTCTGTTCTTCGCTGGATCCGTTTGCTTGTGTATTCGTTTGTGCCGTGTGCTGTGTCGTGCCGCAAATAAATCACAGACATCCATTCAATATTACTTGGCTTGCTCCGCAAATTTATTCAACAGAAAGGCAAGTGTTTAAGAATTATAGAAGAAATACAATGACAAAATATGTGTTCAGATTTTATGCTAAGTTATGCGCATACGATGGTAACCTGTTAAAGATTTGAGACATTTTTTTGGGGTCATTGCGAAACGACACCCAAGCCCAAAGACCCGGGCATGGACGAATTCGAAAGAAAAATACAAACTAAATATTGTATAAATAAATAACATGAAAGAGAGGCGAGACAAAAAAAAGAGGAGGCTTACAAAACCATCTGCGCTGCCCGCAGATGAAGATGGCCAACAAGTCGATTCGAGTGGGCCAAGTCAATCACATGGCTAATGTGGCTCATATGTAAATCGCATAGCGATTGATCAATTTTGAACGTTACTGTAATCCCTCGCAGATGAAGTCGAACGCATCTGGACCTGATACAAGATGCCACTACCCGTTGCATTACTACTGTTTTGTGCACTGCGATAAAAACCGATAATTTAATATAAAGATCGAATTTGAATATAAAATTATAGGTTTACAATTTCTTTTTGAACTATTACTTATTTTTTAGACAGAACCATTAATCTTTACACACGATCCTATTTATATATTTAAAGGAACTAAATATCATACGTTCAAATGTATTGTATAGTTCTGTATAATATTGTGCAACTTTAACAAATACTTATTCTGTTGATTTTTTAAGTATTATCACCTAAATTTTTCGTGTGCATCTGGCACCCAATTTCAGTCAGCATTATATCATCTCAGAGCTCTCTGATTTAGCCCTGAAATTCGCGTTACACTTTCGACACAATGGGAACAACTGGACAAGCTTGCGATATAAATAACAATCAGAAGAAGTGCTAAATGAGGCGATACACATTGACGGAAGGCCCAAAAAAAAAAAAAGAAATCAACTTGGCCTTTACGTTTATACTTTGGCCGAAGTTGCGATGTCATAAGAACATGACAAGTTTATTGGGCTCGTCAGATTGTTGATCTGCTATTTTGAAATACGACTAAGCGCAGTTCATTCATGAAAAATTTAATTTGAATATCACGCCTCGTGCGATCATACAGTTGCCAGCAATTTTCGGTTGGATTTGCCCTTGGAAAAAGGCGGCGATGGTGACGTTCACGCATGCGCACAATTTGTTTATTTATGATTTTATTGTTGTTTTCTTGGCGTCAACACCCGGACAGATAGTTAGTCAGGCGGGCAGTGAAATTACCATGGTGGTATCTTGGGATCGGGGTCCACAAAAGGTTTCTGCTGCACATCCGTTCGCACGTTGGCGTCTTTCTGGGTGACTCCGCCTTGTGCTCATGTATGCTTATGCGACTTTTCGGTGACATTTGTCGCCCTGCCAAATTACATTTTAATATTTTGAATCCAATTGGGGTCACATGCGCTGGCAGTCACACCTACAATAAAAATTCAACCAAATTTCCATCTCGTTTTGGGATTTCTTCATCTTTCCCTCGGCCGACTGCGTTTCCAAGTGCCTTGTATGCCCAACAAGGCGGCACGGGGAAGTTTTGGCCAGAAAAGCTGATAATAATGGCAAGGTAAACAAATCGCCAGGCAGAACAAGGCGATGATGACAATGATGATGTAGCTGATGACAATGGCAAATATTGGAGGTCAGAAGTCGCACAGAATGAATATGCTATTGCTTAGAGGAATGACTAGGTCAATCTGGGCACCCTTGAGCTGGACTAAATGATTCTTGCGAACGCAAGAACGCCAGTGCAATGACATTAATATTGATGGAAAAACAGTAGGCAGTGTAATGATAATTGATGACTGCTTATGAAAATCTGTTAATTGTCGCTGTACTTTTCCCAGACACTCCAACCTAATTGATCATAATTAAAAGAAGGGCCCGTCACACAACTGCTGATCGATGCGACTGTCTATCGAGCGATTTGATTTGTGGCATGCGCAATAAGTGACTATTTTTCTCCTTTGTAATTTATTCTGTTGCTCTCCAAACGAAAGACTCTGGCAACGAACTTTGACTTGTTTTTCGTGTGCAATTGCATTGGGAAATATTTACAGGTAATTGCATATTTATAAAGACAAATTGCCAATATTTAAATTATCCAATAACTGAAGAAAGCATATGGAATAATTTACATTCGTGCTGCCTTCGTCAATGGACGAGGGTGTAGAACTGCCGATCTAATCGATTCGCTGTTTTATATCCCACACATCATACCGCGATCGATCTAGACATATTGCCAATGAGTTGACTCAATTAGCACTTACAGACATTAGTAGTAATGGAAACTTTGTCGAGTCTAGTTAATTGGAGACAGGAATGCCGGGAGTCTGTTTAACAGGCATTCATTCTGGAAGTTTTCATTTTTAAGCTCGCCACGCGGAAGTCAGTAATGTGGTTTTAGCTTAAATCGAGTAATTTATGCGCCTGCAGCAGCTCGCACTAGCCACTAGTTCAAGGTCAGAGCACAAACTAAGGCTAATGCAAAATAGTTAAGCCAATAAAAATTCAAATCAGCGAACGAAAAGAGGCTGAGCCGCAGATAATACGCCTCCCATGTTTATGATGCCTTTGGTGCCCACCATGTACACACATATACATACATAAGTGTAAGTGTTTGGCTAGCCACGCCCGAAAGGTCCGCATCCGCACTGGGGAGCGGATACTATGGACGAATCTCGAGCTGCTCTCCAATGCAAGAGATCGGGTCCCAACTCCGCTTTTTTGTTTCCTCAAAACGTGCGACCTTCGCAGAGATTTTTAATGCGTTGCCGAAGCCGATACCGATGTCGATGCCATTGCCTTAGGTCCATTCAATCGCTTGATCAGAGGCTGCCGCTCCGTCTTCGAATTCAATATTTTGTCTTCTCTTTTGTTGGAATACACTTGACAAAAAATGAAACCTGCATTTTGTCTAAAATTTATGGCACCATCAACAAAATCATCCATAAAAACCAAAGCACTAGGTTGGCTAGAAAGCAAACTCTAATAAAATTTTGTTTTTTTACTGTTTTGTGATGTGCAATCCAGTCCTTGCAATAGTATACCCTTATGGTACATTTTTCTGAGTGCTCCCCTTCCTTTCCACCTTTGAGTGCCGTCCTCAACATTCCAAGCCATTTGGTCCGCGGCTCAGACCTTCCCATGCGGCCTCTTATCAGCCTAGAGTTTGCCCATAAAGTCTGTAAATAGAATAAAGCCCGACTTTTGAATCCCTAGCATAATGAGCCGCGCATTGCGTATACGCCCCATGTGCTTGGCTTACCAAAAATGGTGGCCAGCTTGGCGACAGAACGAAACGTGCGAATCTTTTGCACGGCGCGTGTCTAGAATTTATCGGCCGACTTCTAACCGCGCTGATTATCGCATAATAATAAACTGGAATGTGACGTCAGGGGAGCGGGTGATACTTCTATATATAATATTTATTTACTTTGCCATTATTTGGCTTCATTTAATATTTACTCTGTGGTTGCCACGCACTCTCGTTCACTGTCAATCGCTAATTGGCATGCAAACGGCCGTCAACATTGTAGGAAAAGTGACTAGGATTTGCGCAATGTTTTGGCTTAAAATTATGCAAAACGAGAGCAGATCTCAGGGTCTGTCCAACCAGAGTTTTCCATTGGTCCATCGGTTAATCGTCTTATTATTCGGAATTTTTGGCCCTTGAAAGGCGGTGAAAAGTTCTACACTATATATGCAAACTAATGCTGACATTTGGGTTTTTGGCGATAAAGACCAAACTGATTTGCATTTGAACATCGGGCGATTGTGAAAATCAATAGGCAAACAAATATGCCATTTTTTACAGCGATTCCAATGACGAGATTAGTTTAGGCTGATCTCTGAGACCGGAAGGTTCTGATGAACCGGGGAGACATATATGAAAGCAGTGGCCTCCTGATACAAAACTGGAATTCTCCACATATTATCTAACTTTTTATGACAGCTGAGTGGTCATAAAAGAGCTCCGCAGTCGAAAGTGCCAAAACCAAAACCAAAATCAAAACCAAGTCCAAGTTCAACACTTTACCACCGAATAAATCAGAATTAAATTTCATTGCCGGCTGCGGCAAACCGGTAGAACATTTAGATATTTGATTATTTAATATTTATTATTTTCTTTATTATGTTATTTGAGTTTGGCCGGTGAGATTCGAGTATAAATTGCATTAACAGGTTAGTGGAGCAGTCATAAAAACCAACACGGTTAAATAAAACTAGTTTGGAATTAGCATAGAGATCTGCAAGATTGAGTAATGTAAAGACGTTGAAAGCTAAGTTCCTGTATTAAATATATCCATTGTTATTCTGAGCTCAATTTTTCGCGATAGGGAATTGTAGAATTGTAGATTGTAAGTTGGCTTTGCGGATTTCTTGCGCAATATCTTCACACCCTCGAAAACACCATTGGCTGGCTGGATTTGTTCGATTGAAAGTGCCGGCCTTGCAAAAACACTCGGCAAAGGCACTCGAAATAATGCAAATAATTCAAACGAAATTCTCGTTAGTCAATATCTCAATATCCAGCGGAATGAATGCATTTTTGGCGCTCAGCTCCGCCAATCCGCCAATGCGCCAAGAGCGATGACTATACAGAAAACGCTGGGTAATTCGATGATGGCGTTCACTTGGAGTGCGAACCTGAGCCGCAGATGGCAGGTGCTCAAATAATTAGTATAGCCGGGCCAAATGATGATTCCAGTGGCCGAGTGGTTTAGACAAAGCCAAACTGGGCCAGCAAATAGCTGCAAGTCGCAGCGCGTCAAGAAGCCATTGAAGTTGGCCACCATTATGGGTAGTTAACGACCGATATTAGCGGGCATTGAAACCGCCTAGTCAGCATTGCTAAAGGATTTTGGGATGGGCTGGCCAAGCGATAATCACAACCATCAACTGTTGCAGAAACTGCATCTCAAAACTGGTTTCGGTGGAAACAATGCCCATAAAACTCCTGCTGGTGTCCTTGCCTCCAGGCTTGTTGACTAAGTCTTAAATAAAAATAGCCAGGAACGAAGACAGAGAAAAGGGCACCATAATGTGGGCTTCTTACAACGGGTGTAAGATCGGCTGAGATATCCTCTTCATCATTTATATTGTAGGCTTTAAAACTCAAATTGATTTGTGCTGCCTCGATGGTCTAGCAAGCCAATAATCAGCAGCAACCGGTTCCGCGATCTTAAGCCATAAAATTAATGATGCATGAACCTGACAGTTTGTCCTTGGACTATCCTGCTTCCTGGGTTTTTCCAAAAAGCCACAACAAAAACTAGTCAGAAGGAGCAGGGGAGCAACTACCGGCTAATTTGGCCAACTTTACGCAGCCATAGCAATCACGTCGAAACCAGTTCTGTTCACGTAAGCCACAATGTGTCCCTTGTTTTTAGCCTGCTCCGAGTCGTTGACTGCTTCAGCCACTTAACAATATACAAGTATGTAATTCATAATTGTGGTAAAAAGAATAAAATGCGCACCGTGTTAGTGCTGATGCGACCGTTTTGGGGTCCAAGAGCTCGAATGAGCCCGCGATAAATTACATTTTAAACTGTTTGCCTGGCGGCTTTTTCCGCAACTTTAACAGAATTCGCCGGGTTATTGGCATTCGGGAATTTGCAACGCTATGCCTGATTTACACGATTCTACTAATATGACATTTCGCACCCGCAACGATCATGCAAATATCGGTAACTATCTATATATATAATATATATATACTCCGCTGATCTGGCGAAGCGTAGGCGCGGTTTCGCCTTGGGCAGCATTACTTTAAGTTTGTGTGTCTGGTTGATTAACAGGAAATGCTCACGGCGCGTAAATAAAACTCAGATCGAATGCGTTTTGCTTCTACCTTCTACGACGCCAGATCCATGGTCGTAGAAGGTGCTAATCCATGGGACCAGTGCATAACCCAACTAATCTATTGATTACCCCACTCTTCCAGCTGCCAATATGTCGGTCAGACTGAACGAGACGACGACCATTGTTGACCGGATGGTCAACTTCTTCGTGGAGCACGAGGATCTGCGCACCAAGGTGGGTATTGGCGATTCCCTCAAATCAGTTAAATAAATTAATTAAGCTTTACTTTTTGTAAACTCTGATGAATTCTGTCCTTCTCAAGCTACTTTTTGGATTTCATATGCTGTGTAGAACACGAAATCAGCACGGGGACAAAAGATTCTTGGGGTTAAACGAAATTTACATAAGCGGTTCTTGTTCTTAACTAACTCGTTTGCTACATTTTTTATACATGAAAATAACCCATTGAAATCCTCTTAATCTGTTTGTATTCTCTATGTTTCGATGACATATAAAAATAGATAATCAGAAAGCTAAAAATTCCCGCTTCATACTTTTTAATGGGCTTGCTAGCTGAGTAATTAATGAAATGCGTTTCTTGCAGCAATGGTTCCTGTCGAATGCCCCCGGACCGCTGTTCATGATCCTTGGAGCCTACCTGTACTTCTGCCTGTACGCAGGACCTCGTTACATGCGGGATCGCAAGCCCTTCGAGCTGAAGAACACTCTCCTGATCTACAATGCGGTCCAGGTGCTCCTCAGCTGGGTGCTCTTCTACGAGGGATACAAGGGCGGCTGGGGTGGCCACTACAACTTCAAGTGCCAGCCGGTGACCTACGAATCGGATCCGATTTCCATGAGGGTATGCTATCTACGCATCTGTGGGTGCTCAAATCTTAAATATCTCTTTGATGCCACTTCTAGATGGCTCGCGCCGTGTGGCTGTACTACATTGCCAAGATCACTGAGCTGCTGGACACCGTGTTCTTTGTGCTGCGCAAGAAGCAGCGCCAGATCTCGTTCCTCCACTTGTACCACCACACCCTGATGCCCGTGTGTGCCTTCATTGGTGTCAAGTACTTTGCCGGTGGCCACGGAACCCTGCTGGGATTCATCAACTCCTTCATCCACATCATTATGTACGCCTACTACCTGCTCTCCGCGATGGGACCCAAGGTGCAGAAGTATCTGTGGTGGAAGAAGTACATCACCATCCTGCAGATTGTGAGTGATCTTTATCACAATGAAAACGTGGATTCGGCTGATGTTCCGCTCTTTTCTGTAGGTCCAATTCCTGATCATCTTCGTGCACACGCTGCAGATCCAGTTCCAGCCCAACTGCAACTTCCCCAAGTCCATTGCCGCTCTTCTGACCTTCAATGCTGGACTCTTCACCTACATGTTCAGCGCCTTCTATGTGGCCAACTACAAGAAGGAGGCGGCTGCCCAGGCCAAGCTGGCGGCGAAAAAGGAGTAGGAAGCGACGTTAGTTGGCGCTACCTTAAGCTATGCACACTTATTTTTATGGTCCTTCCTTATCCCTGCGTCCCCAAATCCAAAATCCAAAATCCAAAATCCCAAATCCCAGCCCAGATTCCCGCGCTCCCCTCCCAAGCCACCCCCATATCCTACCCCTAGGTATACATAGGTCAAGATGGATATTATACAATCTGTAGTCGCGTAAGCTTGTTACGTAGTATTTTGTTAGTTCGAGGAAAGCGGCCCCCTTTGTACTTGTTTGGATCAGTCGCCATTGCAGAGGGCCAGAGATCGTAGCACCTTCTGTATTGGGATAGTGTAATAGTACCAAATATTATAGTTTAGTGATTAGACTTTATCCTATGGACTGTGAAAGTCGAAGACATGTTAGGGCAGGCGAATGGCGAGCAAGAATCGGTGAACTTTGAACTTTTGCCTGTCGACACCACAGCGCAGAACTGTCCCCAGCTCTATGATGAAATGTAATTTTGTATATTTTATTTGCAAACAATAAACAAACGATTCGTATGTATGTCTTGATCGTCTTTACTTACGTATGATAACTGCTATCAGAGTGTTGATTGTATGATGGTATTTGGCTAGTTAAGCAAATATACTGAATTTATAACTGACCACCTTCTACATGTTTTCTACATACGCCATGCCTGCTAAGTCCAACCAAAAGTATAGTATGAAAAAGTAACCATTAGTACAATCTCCCACACAATCTATCTGAAAAATAATATTCTTTGCTTTGACTTCAGTCTTATTCGGAATGAGGTTGGAAAAACAACATCCACAGCTCACCTGATAAGAAACGTATACATATAAGCTAAAATAACATTGGAATCGAAAACTGAGACTCTGCTCTCGCGAAATGCTGTTCCTATAATAGATTATGGATAACCTGATAAGAAACGTATACATATAAGCTAAAATAACATTGGAATCGAAAACTGAGACTCTGCTCTCGCGAAATGCTGTTCCTATAATAGATTATGGAAACAGCATCTAAGAAAGGCTTTGTCAGAAAAGGGGTATGCTCTGTTAATAAACCACGGAATTTCAAATGAGCAGGTATGTAATTTAACGAATCTTGGGCAATCAAGAACTGATCTAAAATGACTTAGATCTCGACTGCTTGGAACTATTTCGATTGCTTTGTCGCGCTGCCGGATGAGTTTAAATTGGCATATGAAAGATGCAAAGCTCCAGCTGCCGAATATCATGGCTACGTGAGTCCTGGAATGTAGCGATTTGATGGCAACACAGAGTAGTGGTTCCCGATTAATACTCGCCTTCGGGGCAGGCCCTCCATTGCCTATTTCTGTCATCCTGATAACTCCGCACTGATTGATCCAAAAGAGTTAAATATTAGAACTAAATATTAGGACTAAGAGTACTATGAACTTAACTTAATTAACTCAATTTCAATTATCGTCGGCGCATATGCACATAATTATTCATAGGAGGTGTATCTTTTTTTAACTATATATAACTAAGTCTTACTCAAAAATCTCTAATAAGTTGCAGTAATGGAATGTTTTACCAAAACAAATGAAATGGTCTTAGTTTCTGAATTGCTTTCCAACTATATATTGATTGCCCCAAAAGTATGTTATAAAATGGTTCGTTGTATGATATGTATGTACGTTTAGAATAATAATAATGCGAATGCGGTTTGTTTGGGTCAGTCCGCCGGAGTAGCTTGTCGTGTTCACATCGTCTCTTCGGAGTTCTGAGTTTCCAGATAATTTCCAGAAGCAATCTATTTGTATTTGATTTACCTACACGGGGCTTATTTGCCAAGAATGATAAACAGCAAGATAAGAGAGGACAAGTTGGAAACGCTTGTCTCGCGAAGTGCTGTGCCGATCATAGATCTCGCCCATTGTGGTAAGTTTCCCAGTCCCCTGGTTAAATATTTTTAAATTAAAAACACGACGCTACTCAAAAGAATAATAATACGTACCAGCATATGTACAAATTGGTTTGGCTGGGCTGCTTCCGTCCCTAAAAAGAAACTACTTGATAACAATCTTTTTAAGGAGTGCCTTGATATGCAAAAATAATAATATGACACATTTCACTCTTTAATGTGTCATAGGGTGTTATATTATATGTTATATATTATATTATATGAGCGTTATAGTTATATTCTTTTGTAATAATTACTCCCAATTTCTAGGCAAGTCCCTTGTCCATCGGGTTGGTCAGCAACTGCATAAGGCTTTTACCGAAAAGGGAATCGCGTTCCTCGTTAACCATGGGATAGCTGAAGACAAGGTAATTTGTACGTCCTTCTGAGTGCTCTTTTATTAATTAATCTTAATCCGTAGATCAAAGCTGTTTGGGATCAATTTGACAACTTCTTGGATTTGCCAGCAGAGATTCAGGATCTTCACAGACGAAAGGATGGTGTTAATTATGGCTACGTTAGTCCCGGGATGGAGCGATTTAATGGAAGTACTCCAGAGCTGCGTCACGCCTACAATGTTTGCAAGTTGGATGAACAGAATATTCCAAGGGAAGCATTCCCAGAATTCGCCGAAGACATTACCGCACTGTGCACGGACTTGAAAGCCATGTCTTTGTTTATAATGAAGGCCATGGAGGTGGCCCTGGAGATTCCGCCATCCTTCTTCATCGACAAACACTCCCAGATGTTGGAGGGAGATGACCTGAACATGAGCACCCTCAGGATGCTCTACTATCCGGCGATTGTGGATGATGAGCCGGGTCAGAGCGAGGGCGCCATTCGTTGTGGTGCCCATGTGGACTATGGCACCTTCACGCTACTCGCCCAGGATTCCGAAGGTGGCCTGGAGGTGCAACTGCCGGGCAGCGAAAAGTGGGAACGGGTGGGGCATCTACCTGGAGCTATACTCATTAACGGCGGGGAACTCCTGTCCATCTGGACCAAGCAGCGTTACCATGCTCTGGTAGGTTATTCCTTTAAACTGGAACTTTCCAATAATCTAACCCTATGTCAATCCTTTTCCTAGCCTCATCGCGTCGTCATACCTGAACAGGAACTTATAAGAACCCGCGGCAGACACTCCATAGCATACTTCTGCCATCCCAATAACTCGGTCTTGATATCTCCCAACGATCTGTTGGGTGACGAGGAAGCAAAGAGTGAGGACAAGTAAGTATTCTAAATAAATATATTTTTAAATATTATATTACACTGTTTTGTTTTAACCCAAAGAGTATACAGCGCCTATGAACTGATACAGAAAAAGTTTAATGACACCTACGGTCAGCGATCTCAATAAATCAACGAATCTGGGGCAAAAGTTTATTGCAGCTCTAGCCATGTGAAAATCATCAGCATTCCTAGCCCAATGTAACTTTTTTCAAAATCAATAATGAAATGTAATTGTTTGAAGTTAATAAATGAAGGCTCTTAGTAATGACTATAATGTCTATAAAATGGTATATTGAAATGAATATGCAATGCATTAAATAATATCCCTATTATTATGATACTTCCTAGCGAGTAGTTCTGAATTAAGAAGTAAACTTAACTAAAATTGTAGCTTAAAATGTCTACATTTGACACGATATTCTACATAAAGATCGATGATCGACGGCTGAATTTGTCACGATCTACGTGACTGTAGAAATATCGATAGTCCCAATCCGAGCGCCGATAAAAGCGCTATCGTTTTCGAACTGGATCCGAATCGACAGAAGATCGCGGATCGGATCGCAAATGTTTTTTTTTGAGACAGACGCCGTTCCTCTCTGCGCTAGTTCAGGTGTATCTAGGTTAAATTCGCGATCGGAGTGTGTTACAAAATGATGGAGAGTGTGCAAAAAAAGCAGCAGAAAGCGATACGAAAATTGACTAAGTAGACTGACTGTGTTGGCCAACTGCTGTTCGTTCGGGTCGAGTGTTCGATGAAAAGCGAAACCTGTGCGAAAAAAGAAAGCGAGTTTTCACTGTAAGCAAAAAGCCCTCATCGGTTTCAACTTAAAGTACAAATCACCAACTTTCAGCTGAATGCAGCTTCGAGTAGTTTCAGTAGTTTTAAATGTGAGCCCATGCTCCCGTTGGCATAATGTTTTTGCAAGGCAAAAGAGGCGAGGCAAATGCTTACTCAATCCCCCTCCGGCTATAACTCTGAACCCCGAACCCAACCCAACCCCTCGATATAATAACGAACCGACTCCGTGCAGACTGACGGACTGGCTGCAAGATCAGACTTTGCTCATGCGGCATTTCCCGAACAAAGCCGCTTGGCAACAGCTCAGCTGGGTTGGATTTTAATTTTGCATTTTTAGGGGGTGAAAAGGCGGCAGGAGAGCAGGAGGGCTCGCACCTGAGTCCGAGTGCCGTTAAACGGCAAACGGGATCTGCCAGATACAAAAAACAAAACACCAAACACAAGACATCAGACACAAGATACAAGATACAAGATACATGCCCGCCGCAACCAGAGTATCTGTATCTCACATACGCATCCGCATCTGTATGCCTGTGTAGCTGTATTGGGTATTCGTATGTACCTGAGCCACGTTAATAGCCATCACAAATATTGCAAAAGCAAACCGAGACGGGGCTACCTGTTGACGGCTCTAGATAGTCTCACCTTTCGGGCCCTGCACACCATAAGTCGGAATATCCACTGTACTGGGTACTGAGCTCTCTACATAGCCCCCCGCGACCCCTTTGCCGCTAAGCGACAAGTGCTAATTTAGTTATCACAATTTTTGATTTGATTAAAGTTTATCTAATTGCGACGCACATGCAGGCCATGCCCAAGCACCGCACCCCACACAATCAGTTTCATTTTTGCAAAATAAAATCGTAAACCGAGGTAAAATTCTGGCCAGTCAGGTGCGATAAGCTTTGGAACCCAGCAGTTAGGAACAACCGGCGGTTAGTCCGCCCAAGAAGCGCGTCGCGATTGTTCGATCGCCTCTCGTCCGCCACGCGCCCTTCTAAATCCAACCAAAGCCAATCACTCAGCCAGCCGTTCGTACTTCGGATCGTATCGGATCGGATCGTATTGGATCGTAAAAAAATAAAGACCCCCCCAAAAGTTCTGCTGTCAAAGCGTTTGCTCGCCAGCCAAACAAAAACAATAGCCATTGCAAAAACAAATAGCCCACGAAATTAAACAAAAATAAGAAGCACTCGGATGCGCGATTCGAATGTTTGTGTTCTTGTTTTTGGTTTATTCGCTGTCGGCATAACCAGTCTAATAATCGAATTCTGCCATTCCGCGCTGCTGCCATTCAGTTTCCTTTAGTCAGCTATCGCTGGAAGTGCACCTCGTCTCCGGATCCCGGATTCCCTCCGGTCCCAAGAGTCCCTCCAAACCAATTGTGATAAAGATATAGCGAGCACAAGTGCGGCGAGTGTTCGATTGCTCCTCCCAATCAGAAACCAAAGAACTTTGGACGTCGAAGACCCTCTGGAAGTCACACGCAGCACAAACACAACAAACACAACAGACGCAAACAGCAACTCAAAATGATAAAAACAAAGAGCAGCGACGACAAACTCGACACGCTCCTCTCGCGCAGCGTGGTTCCGATCATCGATCTCGCCCACTGTGGTAAGTACCCCATGCCCATCCCCCCATCCATTGGCTACATCATCATCCATGTGTGTAGTGCTCCCCCATGGAACCGAGCCACAGCATCCCATTAAACATGCCGCTGATCGCCACTCCAACTCGTTGCTAGGCGAGCAATTTCAGCCAGCGTTCGTACACGGAGAAAAAAGGGCGGGAGTTGGACATGAATGGGAAGTCCCTCCATTCAAAAATAGCACTTATCTGTAACTTGTCTCGCAAAGGTGAAAATGATTAGACGTTTTGCTTACGTCAAATTCTGCTCCACTGCTCAGAGAAGCGATATCTACGTCTGCGTTTATATTGCTTTTATATTAATCCAAAATGAAGTATGGACCATAAAAGCATAGGTGTGAATGGTTTTCTTTTATATCATTGTGTATAAGCTCGGTAAAAGTACACTAGTTAAAGTGAAATTTGTATGAAGCATCTACAAGTATGCTTAAGATAAAATGTGATTTAATTTCCCCATGAACAACTAGTAACTTGTGGGAAATTTAACGATTCGTGGATTCCCAAAATAATGGGTCATAAGCACAAACAACATTTTAAGATTATTTATTCAGCTACAATTTGTTTTTATGTGCCAATTAATGTATTTCCATTCCACACTTTTGATTAAATAATATGACGCCTGTTCTATCGATAAGATTGCGGTTATTTGAGTAGCAGGAAATGGGCAATCTATTTAATACGACTTGGGTTTCTTTCAGTGCACTTAAACGCTCCGCCATCAGCTGGGCACAATTAAGTGCATTCGTCACTGAGTCATCGACAGTTCTGTTCGGCTGACTATTCCCAATTGTTCAGGGCGAACTAACCGGGCTCCCCTAATAGCAGTTACTTAATTTCGTTCGTTAATTTCGTGGCGTTACAACTACGTCGCAGTTAATTTGTAGTAATTACTGACTTGTGCACCGGACACCTGATCCCTGCACCTGCGGTTCTCTCCGAAAACAAATGAATAATGCAAATGGGATCTTCTGACTGTAAAGTTTCGAAGAACGTATACCTTATCGCCCAACGTCAACTAATTGAACGTAGATAGTTAATCTATGAAAGACTTTAATAGAACACTTATGTGCGTGCGTATGTAGGGAAAGCAAGTATCACGTTGTTAAAGCCTGTTATTTTGCTGATATTTCTGGGTAACACAAATCATGAGTAATTTTTGAGTAAGTGCTCTTCAAGTCAGTACAGATCGCAATAAATCAGGCACACTCTACGATAGCTAGAGTATCAGTATCAATTAAATCACATTCATATTTATGCCCACAAATATGTAAAATTGTAATGAAAACTCACACTACACACTTGGCAGAATTAATTATCACATTATTATTGTTGCATGCAAGATGACTTTAAAAGCGGTATCTGCGAACTAGAGTATCTGTGAGATGCCTAGGAAAATTAGATATCTGAGTTTCCTGACTTTGTTTGTGTTGCCCAGACTGCTTTGAACTTCTTTGGCTAACCTTTGAGGTACCTGTGTTAAGATTTGTTCCACAAGATTTAATGGCTTTGTTTGTTCCTCCGCGTTTCTTCTGCTCTTCTTTGGCCACACCGAAATTTTCCATTTGCCTGTTTGGGCGCCGTGCCCATTGTGTTAACTGGGTCTTTGCCGATACGTGACACAGTTTCTCCTTCTGGCGGTAATGAGACGCCATGGAAATGTAACGCATACGCACTGTGTGCTTATCTGGCCGCAGGTTTCGACGAGGGCTCACCCAGAGATTCGAGTTTGCTTGGAGTACAGTGCGGCTTGGCCTTGGTGGAAGCACACTCTTGACCTTCTCGCCCCACCAGAGCCATTGACCCCCAAAGCAGCTAGCTAGAAGCAATTAAATCGCTGCCTTGCGGCATTTTTGTGTCAACGGAACTTCAATTGGTTTTTTTTTTCTTTCCTTTGTTTTGTTTATATTTGTGTTTTTTGTTGTGTTTTTTTTTTTGGTGAGCCCCGAGAGGTTTTTGAACTATATTGGAAGTCGGGCTTGTGGCATTTGTGGAATGCCTTAATTTCTATCGACCCAATGTCACTCCATTTAGTGCGGAAACTCAAACAGTACTCATCAAAATATTTACACTTATTCGAGTTACGGAATCTGATTTTGTTGTGAACGCATTGAGCGATTCAATATTTGTTTACTGGTTGCAGCTTTATTAACACACTGCCGGTGACCATTAACCAGTTACTGGTTCGAAATTACCAGTAACCAGTTACCAATTCGGAGACATCCACTCCGTGACGCATCTTGTTTTGGGGCTTTGGGGATTCACGCCACGGCGTCATCATCGGTGGGCCTCACCTTGTTTGATTTGATGATGATACTACCGAAAGGCGACAGTCCGAGCATGTTAAGTAGTTGGACTTTTGCCGCAACCGATTGAAACTGGCTTAAACCTGTTGACTCTGGGCTTGGCTGACGTGGCTTAATGGCCGCAATCGCGTTTTGCCTGTTTCGCCAACGGAATATACGTAGAAATTGGCTGCCGGATTTCCCTTGACCTGACAAATTGCTTAAAGCCACCTGAACATTGATAGGAATTGAATTAAGTTCTCTTGACAATTCAAATTGACAGCTGGCCAAGCAAATTCTCAACCTTCAATACTTTGATGCTAAGTTTGATTCGCAGGCGATAATGTTATTCTGGCCAATTACCTCTGTCGTTGACTTCTGTGCGCATATTTCAATGCCATCGAAATTATTTTTCCATTAGCCCGACATCTGCAAACATTTTCCCCCATTTAAGCCCATTTCAGCCAGTTCCCCATAGCCGCAATTCAGTTTTCTATAAATAAGTTATACTGCACGACCATATTTCTCAGCGAAAATTCCGCAACTAAACTGCCACATATATACGAGTTCAAATGGATCTATAAATATTGAATTGAATTATTTCGACCGCCGAATTCAAGTGGGAATGGGGAATCTATTTGTGGATTATCTTTAAGAGGTTTTTCCCACATGAGTAAATGGAAATTCCCATGATGGGAAAATCACTGAAACATTCTTGTATGTGCTTTTTACTCCACATACCAATTGAATTTGCATAATATTGGCCTAGAATTCGTCCAAGTGTTTTAAGAGCAATTAAGTTACAAGTATACATCATCAAATGGCGTTGAAAACAAACAATAGAATTGCTTAACGCGTGCCGGAATTTATGTCTGACCATAAATGCATAAAAGCCAATCAATTTCAACGATAAATTTGTTCGGCAAGCGCCAATCAAATCGAAAACACAATAAAACATGGGGAAAACAAATCGAGACGTCGAGAAATTCTGGCATTCGATAGAGATGATCTTCAGCCAACTTGGCCTCCTCAACGCATACGTCGACTGAATCTACTGACTCAATTTGCTAAATTAGCGACAAGTTAGCACTGACAACTAGCTGGCATAGCTGCCTGAAAACTGAGAAATGGCAAATTGAAAAGCGACCCGCATCCCAATTGCCGCCTAATTGAATTGCATGCCAACAGAAATCGACCTAACTAAAACAGAAAAATAAAACGCACGGAAAACAAGCGTATCAAAAATACATGCAAAACTGGACCGCCGCCCAATGAAAACGAAAGGCGAACTGCTGCTGGCGTCAATTGGAATCATTCAATTCGCCCGACTGACCTCTCCGCCGCCTCATCATCCGCCTCATCATCCGCCTCATCATCCGCATCATCGTTCCGCCCATCATCTGGTTCCCAGTTGAGCAAGTAATAATAATAACAATGCGAGTACTTCCCGCCTGGCGACAGAGCTGCCAAGCCCGAAATGAAATGAAATGAAATGAAATGATAAGAGGGCATAATTGTTATTATTTGTGAAATGCTACACATTCTGTGAAACCCCTTATCGGAGGCACTGCGTCACTGTCCAAGTCGGGAGCTGAGGGCAGGCGGCCAGAAGGTGGCTTCCCGTGATGGCCAGCGAAACTATTTATAGATTGCGCATACGCCCGGTGTGACACCGAAGTGACACTGTCGCGAGGAAGTATATACCCGCACATATAATTACTTTGCATTCTCCGATTTCATTCATGACTCGTCCCTCAATGAGTAAGTGATCACATTAGCGAGCGGTTGGTGCCAGACATTCCCCCACCCTATCCATCTTCCAGATATCAGCTATCTTTTAGCTATATATTCAAAAGTCCCACTTTGACGCGCCAAATGGTTGGCGGCGTGGAACGCCATCCTCGCCACTTCCGCTGCGGCCTTTCCGCGGCATTTTCTATTTAATTTTCCGGCGTGCATTGTCAATGCCGCCTTCGTTGCATTGAAATTGATTGCATTTACCTTTGCATTGCACATTTACCATTGCACGTTATCGAGCTGGCAATAGTGGGTTATTTGAGATTCCAAGCAGCCGACTATCTTCGCAAAGTGAGGGTCTTAAGAGCTGGTGGGCGGCACGTGAATATGAATGTGAATGTGAATGCCTCTTGGCCACACTTCTGGATGGCCCATGACATTCAATTCAGTGGCCAAGTGCGCGCGAGCCAGCTATTTACTGCCTTCGGCCATAGAGTGAACAATCTGCCATAAACACAACCCATACTTTATGGTGTTCAGGTGGAAAACCATTCAAAGAAGCCATAAACGAGAAACCGCAAAGCAATTAGGGCTCGAGTGGCAGCTCCGCTGATTATTCCCACGCCTAAATATCGATTCCGAATCTGTTCGTTACAGGCATCGAGGAAGTGCCGGTCAAGTCGGTGGTCAACCGCGTGGGTCACCAGCTCAAGAAAGCTCTCTCCGAGAAGGGCATGGCCCTGCTGGTCAACCATGGCATCTCCGATGAGAAGGTAAGACAACTAGCCATAAATATACACTTTAGATTAGGGGAACCAAGGAACTGGGTTTTCCACTGATTAAATACAAATATACGTCATTGCTAAACCTGCAAATCTAAAATCGAAGTTGAAAATTTATTGCGGTATTCATATCAGTCCGATAGCAGTTGAAATTGATAGTTTCTATTCCCTGGCAAAAACATAGTTTTAAGGTTATTGTACTCGTCTCTAATATAACATTTCCTTATGGCCTTTTAAACAGCTCAAGACTGCCTGGGATCACCTGGATGACTTCGTGGACCTGCCGCCCGACATCAGACAGCACTATATCCGTGCCGATGGAGACAAACATGGCTACGTGAGTCGTGGTCAGCAGCAGCGATTCGATGGCAAGTCGCCGGAGCTGCGTCACGCCTTCAATATCAGCACACTGAACGCCCAGAATCTGCCGGAGGAGCCGCTGCCAGGCTTCGCGGACCACATCAGCACCCTGGCCACGGACTTCAAGGCGCTGGCCAGCTTCATCCTGCAGGCGCTGGCCGTCTCCCTGGACATTCCGCACACGTTCTTCCTCGAAAAGCACTCGCACATGCTGTCCGGCGACCACGACAACATGAGCTCCCTGCGCATGCTCTACTACCCGCCCATAGTGGACGACGAGCCCGGCCAGAACGACGTGATCAAGGGTCGCTGCCAGTACAGCTACCAGCGCTGTCTGTCCAACCAGCCGGACTTCCGGCCGGAGCACAATCCCCGCGACGAAGACGACCTCAACGAGGTGGACGGCCCCAATGGCCAGCTGTTCGAGCACAAGCTGGGCAACGGCGCCGTTATCCAGTGTCCTCCCCACGTGGACTACGGCACCTTCACCCTGCTCTCCCAGGACTCGGAGGGCGGGCTGGAGGTGAAGCTGCCCGGCAGCGAGAAGTGGCACCGCGTGGGCCACCTGCCCGGCTCCATTCTCGTCAACTGTGGTGAGATCTTGAATATCTGGACACAGGGACGATATCCCGCATTGGTGAGTGTCTTATAAGCTGGCTTATGTGTAGCACCAATAGATTATTGTTACAACTATGCAAATACCAGAACGCAGCTGTGTATATGTAAATTGTCTGAACTAAAAGGCCAAATAATATATATTTGAGCAGCTTTGCGTCTGTTTTTGGCATGAGCTAACAACTTTTGTTTAAAAAGAAAGCTATTTTTGGCTTCTAAAGTTTAGAGTATACTGACTTTTAAAGGCCGCAAATCAAATTGTTTTCCAGCCGGTCTAATCAGTTACTTTAGCAATTTATGGAAACCACCAATCTATTTTATTCTGCCCCCAGCAACATCGCGTGATAATACCGGAGCAGGAAACTATTCGCGCGCGTGGCCGCCACTCGATAGCCTTCTTCTGCCATCCGGACAACATCACCACGATATCGCCCAACGATCTGCCCAATCCGGATGCCGTCCAGGACAAGGCGTGTCTCAAGCAGCGCAAGAAGTCCTTCAGGGCGGTGAAAGAAAGGTGAAAGTGCACTCCAGTTTTATGGCCACTTCCTGTACTAACTCGCTGTTCTTTGTTTCTTTCTTTGGCTTATCGCCGACGATTGCTGGCCGTAAATTCAACAGAGCCTACAATGCATATCAGCTCATACAGAAAAAGTTTAGGAATACGTATAGGAGTAACAATCACTCATAGGACCCATAGACCATAGAGCATAGACCTAGACCGCAGTCGGTCGAGCCATCCATCGCATCTCTACCTGAACTGGGATGAAGTTCGTCGTGGGAACGGATGGGGAAAATGAAAAGCAGCAACTCATATGATGTTTTGAACCTTTTTATTATTACCTTTACTTTTATTCCATACGATTGTAATTGCTTCATTTCATTAATTTATATGTATCGCGATACTATATACAATACATGCATACACCGTAAACATATCCCTTTGTATAATAAATATATATGTATAATTTAATATAGCTTCCACTGAAAAACGCACATGTTAACATTTACTTAAGTCGAGGGTTTTCGGTTTCGCCTAATGTTTTCCGCTCGTGAAACATGGAAGGTATCTGAGTACAATTCCGAAATTGACCGACAATCGACCACAAGATTCGTGCTATCTGACGTTTTGTTGTTTGTAAATATTGTTCACAAGTTAATTAACATTTTCCGCTGGTTGTCACTGTTATTTGTGTTTCATATTTAATGCCGTGTGGCCGCGTTACGTATGAATATATATGAATTTCGCATTAATTTGTAATTACCTTTATGTGGTCTGCTTTTAAAATTCTCGTTTTATTTTCGCGCTTTAATGATTCGAATTCAACTATTCACATGCATAATACATTCAATATTTAACAATTATCTGACTACCATTATTATTATTAGACACTCAGTTTGTATTTGTGTTACAAAATAAGCTTCAGCTCAGCGTTTCTGTTGGACATTTATTTAATGCATTTTAATTTGGATTGGCTTCGATTTCCGTGAGTGCTCCGAATGATTTGTTTAATTTGAACATTGAGCCTTTTTCAGCTGACTTATATGCCTAAACTGGTAATATCTTAGGTACTTTGTATTTCTACTAGCAACGTACAGTGTGAAAACGTAGGAAACCAAATAAATCGAGTCAGTCATATAAGATCTTCAAACAGTCGCTGGCAGAAATAGTTGCTCAAGTCATTGTCACCCATGGGATTTGTGAGGAGTCTGTGCGAATGGAATGTGCGAGATTTGCCAACTTATCTGGGATTGCATCATCGAATGACTCGTCAGCATACTTTTCCAGGCGACTCAAGCCTCAAGCCTCAGCCTAATTGCCATTATTTAATTATTTACTTTTTCGACAGTTACGCGAGCTTTTTAGTTTGTGTTTTATTCGAAAGTCACATGCTCCCATGAGTTGACATGCCAATCCGCGTTTAAACCAAATCGTATTTTTGTTAATTATGGCTGTGTTTTGTTATTGCCGCTGTGATCCAGGTGGTTAACGCACACGTGCCACACTTCTGCGGAAAAATACCCTACATCAGAGGGGTATTATTAAATGATGGAAAATATAATTCAAAATTGAGGTACAGCTCACAACAAAATATACATTCTGTAACTTCGAGCACACTACAAATATTTGTTCTATTTTTGATTTGCTGAGATACATAGGCGACTGTTTTGTTTCCTCGTGTTACTGCAGTGCATTGCACCTGGAAACACTTGTGGCAACAAAGAAATGACTTATGTAACCAAAAATAAATACATTTTAGTTATTTTAGTCGAGGCAAAATTGTTGAAAGAGCATTCGCATTTTGTACTTCAGCTTCTTATCGTTCGACGTTAATTTAGTTAACAATATTTGGCTACATTTCAAATGTTATCAACGCTGCTGCTAACTGCCAACTGGCAACTGCCAACTTTTTCGAGGGCGTTCTGCAGTTTAAACAAAGTGTCGAGAGTTAAATTAAGCAAATATTGACACGCCCACGGGGGGTTGGGGGCGGCGGCGAGACAAGGACGGGAGTAGTCATGCCGAAAGAGAGGGGAGTTGCTCATTTGTCGACGGCGGTGAGCTCTTAAGCCGGCGCTTTAAATAATGACTGCGAATCGTAGGAAAAAGTCGCCGTTTTATGCATGTCGTATATATACTTTTTGCAACGATTTGATATTTTGTGCAAACAATTTCAGCCAGCTTTCGGCTGAAGCACCTTTGATTTATGGGCGCAATGGCGGTGACAAATTCGCGCAGGGGGCGTGGCAGTTACTGATAATATTCCTTATATCTCCTACTCAACTAATTTCGAGTCGAAAGCGAGAGTCAACTAAACAGGCTTGGAGTCTGGAGATTTAGTTTATTGTGCCTTGTTAAGATTGTCGCGGCAAGGGAAAAGCATTTTGGGTATTACTCGCACCTGCTCAAAAGATTACAAAACAGTTCTATGAATGTCAGTTGCATCTATGTGCAGAAAGGTACACACATATACTATATACATATGTGGCTACGCGTATAGTTCGTATATAATATATAGCTCTAGAGCTAGTTCGACTACAACAACAGTATGGGACTTAGAGTCGGGAAACATCAAAGTTGAGGCTAAAACCCAATGGATATGTTAGTCGTGCTGTAGGCTCTATATGTATCTGGTTATGTATTATGACATATATAATTTGATTGTATTTCAATGAACTAGATTATGTTAATGTATTTAACGAATCGAATGAGCCTTGTCATTACATCTAAAAGAACTGACAGTATGAGTTTTACAAACAATACGAACACTCTGATACAACTAACATTAGTTTCCATTGTTTAGTGGAGATTTTAAGTGGATTTAAGGCCTGGTTGATTGCTTTGAGTATTTACATAATGTTTTAATTAATCATTATTAAATCACTGATAAAATGAAATTGTCAGTCTTTATTCGCTAATCGAATAAAATGTAAAAGTATAGAAGGCTTGATCGTAATTAAAGTTTAAGTTTAGAATAATAGAACAGCTTAGACACTTTCAATGATAAGATAAATAATATTTTGATTAGTTCAACAGTTCAACCAGACCTTAAACCTACACACTTTCTCACTGTTTTCGTTTTAGAGTACCAATCAATGCATATTTCATATTTTTTTTTGGGTTAACATCTAGCTTTTTATATACGTATATCAAACATTCAATTTATATATCTATTTGCATGCGCATTTATAAACATCGCTTTTATGAAATTCCTGACTCCATGACACCTAAGTATGTTTGTTGAATACATCAATAATATTCCATTTATTTTGCACGTCAATTTGCTGCTCTTGAAGGCTTTCTTTAATCTGTGGGATTGTCGTATTGTTGCTGTGGCTCTCGCTTTATCTATTATTTGTGGTTAAATTCTTTTTAGCCCTCTTAGCAGCCATTTCGAGGAATGTTTTTGTCGAGTGATTTGTATTTGTAAGCTGGCAATCTGGTTTCTGGAGAACACTTGCTGTGCACTGCGCACTCATCTCATGAACAGACGTTGTGAAGCACTGGAGTTGAAATCAAGTATACGCCATGTGTGTTTTTTTTTATCGTTTAGTTGGTGTACAGAGGATGCAGCTGCTGCATCTGGGCGTCCGTGGTGGGTGTGACATTGACGGCGTACTGGCGGGCCCGCATCACGTTCATGTGAATCTCGGACGAGGCCGTGGAGTTGACGCAGTTGGCCAGCTCGGCGGATCCGGATCCGGCCCGTTGGGCTCCATTGGTTCCACGGCGACTGGGACCGCCGAACTCCAGATCCCGGTCATCATCCCGGCCCCTGCCGCGTCGACAGAAGTAGAAAGCGTAGGGAAAGAGGCTCTGTGGGGAGAAGAACACACCCAACTATGAGTAGGCGGCATTAACTGGCATGCTTCCGTTAGAGTACGCTATGTACTCTCTAATTTAATAGAGTTAGCTCGCTACTGTACAGCACTCAAAGGTTAAGCATACGCCGCGTGGGACGGGCGGTACAATCGACAGGGGGAGTGGTGTTTTTTTTTCGGGTGCTGGCGGCACATGTCTGTGACAATTTGGTTTCACACAGAAAACAAAGGCTAAAGGAAAGGAACAAAAAACAACAGACACACACACAAAAAATGCTAAACGAAATGAAAGGCCGCGCATTCGTATAAAAAAGGGACGAACAAGGACCCGTCCATGTGCCTCTGTGTGGGTGTGTGTGTCGGTGTGTTGGTGTTGCTGGTGTGTCGAAGTGTGCAGCATAAAAGGGAGAGTTTTTAGAGAAAGAATAACATTTCATCATCAGCATTTACGCTTGTGTGGATGTGGAGAAGGTGGCTGTGTGGGCATACATACAAGAAGAGGTTCAGTTTTAATTTAAATATTACGTTTTATGCTTTCAGTTTTCTGTTGCATACTTTGGCGGGCTTAGCTTTTGTTGGGCCATAGGCAACGAATCAGCACAGTAAGCGCCAGCTGTGCGTGGAAAGAGAGATGGTATATGGTACTATATATGGCAATGGTAGTATACGGTGGTAAGTGGCAAGCAGAGTGTTCAAGCGATTAGAAAGCCCCTTCACTGCGGACCATGCCCCGCAGATCCCCTCGAGAATGAAACTGATAGAGAGACAGAGGCAGGCGCAGGCAGAGCTGTAGAGCTGTAGAGCAGTAGAGCAAAGAACGTGCAGAGTTTTCAGTTCTTCAGGCAGAGGAAAAGCTATTTTTCTTGCTTAGCAACCAGTAGATGTGGATGATGAAGCATTTCAATCAACTAATATGAACGCTACGCTATCTACACTCTCCGCGGAACACTGAGCTGCACTGAGAAAAAAACACGACGCAATGTCCTTGACTGCATCTCTTCCTTATCATATCACAATATGTACAAATTTCAGTTGGTACGATAGTTAGGAAATATCTTCCATGTGCATTTAATATTTGCTTGTACATACTTTAAAATTCAGTTTTTTCTCAGTGCACCCGTGATGCCAATAGCTACCAAAATAATTGCTAAACGTGAGCCTCTTCGGTGGGGCGCTGGTGGTGGCGCCTCCGCGTTGCCAGTCGATATCGCTGTCGAAATGGTGGCCGCCGCCGCTTCTGTGCATTGGATGGTGGCGGTGGCGGTGGCCCTGTCCTTTGCGATTGCAGCAGTTGCCGAAGCCCTGTACTAAGTCTAAGGTGGTGCAGAGAATTCAGTTTTGGATGCCCGAACAAAGCGAAATTGAATAGAATAAAAGTCCCATCAAGATGTCGAAGTGGAAGGTATATGCAAATCACTCGATGGCCAGCCCGCAACTCACCTTGAGGGTCTTCTTGAAGGCGGCCCTGAAGTCGCGGTTGAAGTATGCATAAATAATGGGGTTCAGGGCCGAGTTGAAGTAGCCGATCCAAAACAGGATGCCCACGAGCAGGCGCGGAGTGATGCAGCTATCGCACAGCGAGGATACGATGTACCTGCGGTTCAATTGGAGAACAAGAGGGAGTTAGATTCCTCACTTTCAAGTAGGTGGAAAAGTGCACAATATCTACAGCT